CGTTACTTCAACTTGTTGAGCAACTGACCAAGTTTTACATGTGTGTGTGTCCATAATTGTTCTGGCTGTTTTTGTAGGCCTCCTCTCAAATTGTCCGTGTCATTTGCATTTTGTCTGCAAATTGTCGTCGCTAGAGGCAGAGACAGCGGCACAACTTCAAAGCCAAAATAAACATTGATTGAAGATTTCTTTACGATTTCTGAATGGTTATTTATGCAGAGACAGCGGCGCAGACAGGCGGACACAATTGACAGACTGACACACTGAGACACTAAAATCGTTGCCTTTGACTTGTTGTTGTTTTTGCTGTTGTTCTGTTGCTGGCGGCACGCGTTTTGTTGTTGGCATTTAGTTGTTTTTGTATCATTTACAAATTGCTGGAAAATAGCGTAAAATCAAAACAACAACAGCAACAACAAAAACCACAAATCGCCGCTGGTCATTTGATTGATGTGCACAACCGACCTTAAGTTCAAAGCCAAGAACAGCAACAACAAAAACACCAACAACAACTAAACCAAAACTGAAACAGAAACAGACGTCGACACCGCTGATTACCACGCGTCAGCGGCCATGACAATGTGAAATCCAGCTGTATGTGTATGTGTGTGTGGACCCACGAGGCGTATGATTAATATACAATTGATGTGTGTAATAACAGAGCAGTTCTCCAGCTCATGTTTGACTAAATACTTGGCCCTCTCGCTCGCTCGCTCGATCGCTCTCTCGCTCTTTCGCTAAGCGCTAATGCGAACAGCAAACAACAACAAACAGTGCACAACGTAAAACAATAACAACAAAAACGTAACGAAATACGCGGCAAAAATTTCTTTGATCTTATCGCAAAGCTTCTTGCTCGCATTTTGATCAAAGCAAGTTTTTCCGCCAAAATACAAAGGCTACAACAACAACACCAACAGAAAACCACAAGAGCAACAGGCGGTCGCAGCATGGCAGAGCGGGAGAGAAATACGCAGAGAGGGAGAGCACAACTGATATTACGACGACGACAACAACAACAAAAAGTTGTGAATGAGTTTTGAATTAACGCACTGTCAGAGAGCGCAAGTTTGAGCGAGAGAGCGAAGTGAAGTGTACTGAAGAGAGAGCGGCCAAGCGCGTGCCGAGTGCAGCTTTAAAGCTTGCACGCAACGCAGGCTGGTGCGACGGCAGCCAAAAAGCTTTAACTGCGCAACTACCGTTTGCTTTATGAGCTTAACTGAATTTAAATACGAATTCGGGAGAGCAATTTCTATGGCATTTTTCAACTATTCTAAATAAAAAAATAAAAAAAAATCTTTCTCTTGCAGTCGACGACGACGACGACGACGCAGCTCTGCTGTCAGCTGTCGCTGTTGCTGCCGCTAATTGCCCTCAGCACATTGCCACACGCCAACAGCAACAGCATTAATAACAGCAACAACAGCAGCAATGCAAACAAAAACAACGACAACATTGAAACATTTGGCGTGCGCAAAGTTCCTTTGGAACTGGAACTGGAGCAGACCAATAGCAATTCGCTGAACATGATACAGCGCAACTACATGATCATGCATCCAGCGGGCACAACGTCTGAGAGCAACGATGGCAAAGATCACAGTCGGTCGCTAAAGCGCGCCGCACTAACCAACACGAACATCACCTGCAACGATGGCACCCACGCGGGCTTCTATCTGCGCAAGCAGCCCAACTCCAAGAAATGGATCGTATTTCTCGAGGGCGGCTGGCACTGTTTCGACAATCGTTCGTGCCGTGCGCGTTGGCTGCGTCTGCGACATCTGATGACCTCTTCGCAGTGGCCGGAGACACGAGATGGTGAGTGAGACCTTAAGCAATAACTGCTCTCTGTGCTCAAAGCTAATCCCATCCACTCTTTTATAGCTGGTGGTATTCTGTCTCCACATGCCGACGAGAATCCCTATTGGCACAACGCCAACCATGTGCTGGTGCCCTATTGCAGCAGCGACTCCTGGTCGGGCACACGCATCGAGCGGGACACACGCGATCGCGAAAACTCTTGGCGCTTCATGGGCGCCTTGATACTGCGCCAGGTGATTGCCGACCTGATACCCCTGGGCTTGGGGCGCGTGCCCGGCGGCGAGCTGCTGCTGGTAGGCTCGTCTGCAGGTGGACTCGGCGTCATGCTCAATTTGGATCGCGTGCGTGACTTTCTAGTCAACGAGCGCAAGCTACAAGTGACGGTGCGAGGAGTCAGCGATTCGGGTTGGTTTCTGGACCGTGAGCCATACACACCATCGGCTGTAGCATCCAACGAGGCAGTGCGTCTAGGCTGGAAGCTATGGCAAGGCCTGCTGCCCGAAGACTGCACCAAGGCGCATCCCACAGAGCCTTGGCGCTGCTACTTCGGCTATCGGCTATATCCCACGCTAAAAAGTGAGTTGCCTCACAGAATCTTCCTCTCGACATGATGACTAACTGTTTACCTTGTTGCAGCTCCGCTCTTTGTGTTTCAGTGGCTTTTCGATGAGGCGCAAATGCGTGCGGACAATGTGGGCGCGCCCGTTACGCCCCAGCAATGGAACTACATACACGAGATGGGCGGCGCACTACGCTCCTCGCTGGACAATGTGAGCGCCGTGTTTGCGCCCAGCTGCATTGGCCATGCGTTGCTGCTGAAGCGCGACTGGGTCAACATTAAGATCGACGACATTTCGCTGCCCTCGGCGCTGCGCTGCTGGGAGCATTCGACGCGACCGCGACGCAAGCGCCACGACAAACTGAAGCGCAGTACTGAGGCGACGACAACAGCACTGCAGGAGCAGCAGCATCAACAGCAGCCACATCCCAATGCCAATAACCAAAGACATCAGCGACACCGCCAGCGAGCACAGAAGCTGAACAATGTGGCACAGGCGCAGCCGGCGCCGCAGCGCAAGCGAAATCATCTAAATAAAGAGCAGCGCGAGGAGCGCAAGCGTCGGCGTCAAGAGCGGCAGCGACGCAAGCAGCGACGTCGCCAGCAGCAGCAGCAGCGCAAGCGCGAAAACGAGGCAGCAGCAAGCAACAGCAGCAACAAAAACAGCAATAAGCAGCGTCGACGGCCACAGCTGACCGCCGAGCAGCAGCTGCAGCGCAAGCAGCAACGTCAGCTGCGACGCAAGCAGCAGCTGCAGCTGCAGCAGGAGCAGCCAAGTGAGCCGCAAAAGCGACGCGCTTCCAACAGCGCCAACAAGCTGAAGCCGCGACAGCGTGTACCGCGCGTGCCCGAGAAATGTGGACTGCGTCTGCTGGAGCGTTGCAGCTGGCCGCAATGCAACCACTCGTGCCCCACGCTCACGAACCCGCTGACCGGCGAGGAGATGCGCTTTCTCGAGCTGCTCACCTCCTTCGGGCTGGACATCGAAGCCGTAGCCGCTGCTCTTGGTGTCGATATGCACACGTTGAACAACATGGAGCGAACGGAGCTGGTGAATCTGCTCACGCAGCAGGTGAGCTGAAGGCGCGGCGTTATTAGGTTTTAATAGATAGACACCCTGTAAATAGTTGGCCTGTATATAGATATAGCCATAGACTGTATAGCCATATATATATTTGTATATATATATATGCATATATCGGAGCTATTCCAATTCCTAAACCAAGCAAAAGACATGCGCATAGTACCCAGTTATTAAGCAGAATTTATTTATATATATATACATATATATATATATAAAAAGACACACACACGCACATACGCATACATATGTACTACTATGCGTATACGTAATTCGTATTTATTCATTCGCATTCATTTCTGCGCAACGAGAAACTAACACAAATGCAACCACAAGACTGTTTTTTATGTTTTCTATATATGAACATAACTATTTTTTTTGTAATTAATTAAAATTTAAAATCGTATTTATTTATAATTATTTATAGTGTATGAGACAGCAGATGTATGTATGTATGTATGTATGTATGAAGGAAGCTAGACTGTTTCAATTGCCCGATGCCAAGTTTGTTAACAGAAAAAAATATATAAATTAAAAATGAAAGTTTACAAATTACCTACCTCAAGAGAACAGAGAACCATGAGAAATTATTAGAACCAGCTGCCTTGAATAGCATTGCATTTTGTACCTGTGCAAATTAAATCAAATAATTAATTAACTTTATTTATTTATGTACTTTAGCCACATTTATTTTTTATTATTTTTTATTTTATTTTTTTTTTTAGTTATGCGCATTCCGTTCAAAATAATTGTACTTAACCTAATCTTATAATTAACTGGCAACAATGAAGCAAACCGAACAACTCGAATATTATTATTTATATGTATAATACATAAACTAGATGTAATAAATATATATATCTATATCTATATAGCATATGAAATCGAAAATAATATTGATTAGCCTGTACAGAAACGGTTAAAGTTTAGCCTAAGAATTGTTGTGCTTAAATTAAGCTAAGTTTAGATCTTTAAAAACAGCAACTAAAAATGAGTCGAACAAACAGCCTAAAACATTGTTACAATTTCCATTTACATAACAGAAAAGCAAAAAAAAAACAACAAATTACAAATGAAAATCGATAAAAATAAATGAGAAAATAATTTTTATACAATTAAAAAATATTATTTGTACTTAAATGTCATTTAGTTTTCAGAAAATACCTATTTTATGGTTATACCTTTAAAAATTTAAATGATATCTATTTTCAATTGAAATAATTCTTTAAATTAAAGATTCTCTCTTTACGTTTTTAAAATCTTCAAGGCATTGTTGAAAGTTTTCTTCTGAATGTTTTTCTACTTCTTTAAAGAAATATCTAAGAAAACTAATTTTTATGGAATAGTGAATATTTTGGATACGTTCAGCTTCCAATTCTTATGTGAATAGAAACACGGGATAATTTTCTTTTTGATTTCAAAGCATTTAATTCCCTCATATTCAAATTTTCATCTCAATAAGTTTGAATTCCCTAAAACAAATTCATTGCCAAAGTTTTTTGAACAATTGAGAGAATATTTTCGCATCTTAAAGTTGCCTCTCTTGACACGCCGCCCACGCAGCCGAGCATTCATTAGACTTAATTGAATGAAAGCTCACGAAAATTCAAGATTTCGCTCAATTTGATAAGTTTGCGTGCAATATGTGGTGGTGCACGGAGCTGCGCGGTGGTGCAAATTGAGCCACAAAAGCAACAAATTTCTGGCTCGTCTCAGTTTCAATTCAGCGCCAGAAGTCGAGCAATCAAGACGCGTAGAAAATTCCCCGTCAGTTGTGTTTCAAGAGAAAATGTGGAAAATATGTTTGTTTGCGCTGCAAGTTCACCTGCTGGTGGCTCCGCTCACAGGTGAGTATCGCAGATAGGCTACATGGTTAATGGCTAATGTCTGCTCCAGCTAGTTGCCCCATTTTCTTGACAATTTCGCTGTCGGGCAAATCGCTGACCGATGCCTGTTTGGAGATCAATTGGGGACCTGACTGCTATGCACCGCCCGAGTGGGTGGGCATCTATCGCCAGGATCCGTCCGTGTCGAACTTCCAGCCGGAGCTGCGCATCGATGGCATACGCAATCGCACGGGCAAGCGACAGACGCCCATTAAGCTGGGCAAGCTGCAGTTTCCAGGTGGTTGGAATCGACCCACAGCGGAGCAGGCCACGGCCACCAAGTACCCAAAAGGCAAGTGTTTGCCCTACTATGTGGCCAGCTACAATGGCAACGAGCTGCTGACTATTGATTGCCTGAAGATACAGCCCAATTGGCTGGCACACCTCAAGGATGCTGCCGGTATGCCGCTGAAGCATCTCTTTCTGCCAGGCACACACGCCTCCGGCGCCTACATTACCAACTACAGCAAGACCAAGTCGCTGCTGATCAAGGACTATCTGGTCGCTCAGCACTTCGATGTGTGGTCGCAGCTGGTCTTTGGCATACGCTATCTGGATCTGAGTGTGGGGTGAGCTGCTAGACACATTTCAGATATTTGCTACTCTAATGAACAAAGTCTTGCAGCTATCGCTACAACGCGGACAGCAGCAGCGAGTCGGATAACTTTTGGGTAGTCAACGAGAATATGTTCATCAATCCTCTAATCGACATCATACGCGATGTGCGTCGCTTTGTTGAGCTCTCGGATGAGATAGTTGTGCTGGACTTCAGTTCGTTTCCCATTGGTTTCTACAAGCATCCGGAGATCTACAGCAGCCTGTATCATCTCATACGCCAGGAGCTGGGCCAGGTGCTGTACGAGCGGAACGTGAGCACCAACGAACACTGCGCCGATCGCAGCTTCAATGATCTGCGTGTGATTGGCAGGCAGGTGTTGCTGCTGTTTCCCACGCAGGAGCTGCCACATCCGGAGAATGGTATATAGGCACTTTCAACTATCTTTGCGCCAATAAACACATCTCGCTTACAGAATCCGTGCTTCTCTGCACGCCCTGGCAGCGCTTTAGCACCAGCTACATGAACATGTCCCAGACCCTGGATTATATGCGGCTGCTGTTTAGTCGAAAACCGGACTCACCTGTGCAGGACGACGGTTGGATATTCCATGCAGTGATGAGCATTGAACAAGCGCTAAACTCACATAAATTGCAAACGGCCAAGGAACGAGCTGCAGTCATCAATCCAAAGGTAAATCAATGGCTCAACGGTCCTTGGGGCCCAAATGCCAACGTCGTGGCCATGGACTACTTCAGCAACACCAATCTGATCGATGTGGCCATACACGCAAATGCACACAAGGCATTCCTAGCGGCCAATGACAAATTTGTTAATCTCGAAATATTGAGTCGACGTTAGTTATTTTATTCCTATTCAAATTTATGAAGCAAATACAGGCAAAGCATCAGTTTCCATGTAGTTGGCAGCGCTCCATATTTAGTCAGTATACGAACCAAGCAGTTCAGCAAGCAGTCGAATATATATACTCGAATAAAGCAGTGCAACTGTTCCATAAAACATGGTAAAGAAACTCAAGAAAAGAACCTTTTGATTTTGTATTATTTTATAGTAAAATAAATATATATAGACTATTTATATAATATGTAAAAATGTATATTTATTGGAACTATATCTAGGAGCGTTCCCTGCGCTATGTTTACCTGTGTCTGCGCCAATAGATTATTTTCATTATGAATTTATTTTAAGCTCGTGCTCAAGATTGATATTTATTTTATTATGTTTAAATATATTCTATAAATATTATATAATGTATGTTATTATTTCACAATCATAAATCACAGTCATATGAACGTCAAAGCTTCCTGCCTATGATACCAACGTCTACCAAATCACTGAATATATAACATTGACTCTAATCAAGAAAAATAAATTAATGATAATCTATAATGATTGAGGAAAACAGAAAAATAGGAATGTACGCAATCTTTTTTGGGATTCGCTTGAAATTAAACATCAATGGCAACAAAAATAGCTTCGAAAATAGGACAGGCACTAAAAACTGATTGCTATAAAAGATGCTAAATTGACATCACTGTCTATATGAATATCTGCATAAAGCATGCAGCTGTTCATACAAAATATATTACGTATACGGAATTCGTCACTCGAATCTTTTGGGTTGTCATTTACGTGTCAATTAAAAAACTTGCTAAATATAGCTATTCTCAAATTTGTATGGCAAAGAGAGAGAATTTATTTAAATTTTCTCTCGAAATAAGATAAATATATATATATATATATATCAAGCTTTTCTATAAAAAGCCTTGTTCTAATCGAAATAATTTCAACTATTTGCTGCATGCGATTTAAGCTCGATTAAACTAAACTTTATACATGTATATTTATATCAATGTATATATATATTCCGATTGTAATCAAAACTTCTAGTTCGACCTTCAGTTTAGCATAGCTTTACATTTACTGGCTAATTAAAAGCCACACGCAAGCTAAGGTCAGCATTGAATTTATATAATAGACAAACTGGAGCATTCATTGATTTGAATAGACTCCAGGCTCAAGACCGAATCATTTGTATACTCTAAACATATATTTATTTCATATATACAACTATTTATAAGAACAGTCAACCCAGACGATGATTCAACGTTTTTGTTCACTCACTATTAGTTGTCATCCACCCGCAATGTGCCACAATTGGAGCTGATGCAAGGTGTTAGATGACAAACAGCTGATGATTGCTCAAATGCCCAGCCGTTGTTAGTGACTGTAGCTGGCAACCGGATCTAGCTAAAAATATGAATTGCAGCCAATCAAAACGTAACTCGAAAACTTGAAATGCCAAACACTTTTAGCCAGGCCAAGCAGTTGACGTGATTTCCAATTAGCCCCTTGATGAGGCAAACCAACTGCAATGTCCGTTGCATTCGCTACACAGTTTATTGAACTTTGTTATAAGTCAAGTATTATAGTCTTTGCGTATATGTCAAGAAGATAAAAACCACACGCTTTCTGCAGATAACTGTTATCAGACATTGAGGTTGCGAGCCAATTAGGAAATTCCAGCTCCTTTGTCACATAAGACTACAGCAAAAATCTTATAAGCAAATGTGGATTGTTAGCTTACGCAATTCTAACTACGCAAATAGATATTTGACTTTAAAAAAATGTGAATATGTCCAATGCTTTATAATATATGTATATATATCCATATATATATATATATATATATATATATATATATATATATATATATATATATATATATATATATATATATATATATATATATATATATATATATACAGTCTAGTCTCGACAGAACAAAAGCCTCTGCAGTTTCGATCACTAAGATTTATGTATCCACTTTTTCATATATTTAACTGTGAGCTTAAGCCTTATGACTTATCAACTAAGTCATACGACATAAAAACATATATTTATATACAAATATATACATATCCATACCCCCATATGTGCTGCTGCCTGCTAATTTAATTTTGCGGTTAAAAATTGTAAAAGCTGTTGGCTTTGTTCCACGCACAAGGAATTCTAAATAAAATATCTTAATACATTAAATGTGGTCAAGCTGCACTGAAAAAGTCTAACGCAATTCTCAGCTTAAGCTTCACTGTACCCGCTCTGAAATTGGCTTCGCCTGACTCAATAATATACTGATTAAAAGTGGATCTGCTTGGAATAGCATTTAGATCTAGTTTCCAATCAACAATAACTTTTTAGGCATTTCGAAATACCTCCCACAACCAGCCAGCCAATCCCAATCGGCACGCAACATCAATTAGCCTCGAAATAGCCATAAAAAATAATATAATTTTTATATTTTTATGGCACATGATCGAAAGCCTAAGAACGCAATTCACATTCGGCCGCAGACTGATCCGTATTTTATAAATACATATATGTATACAATGGAAACAACGAAAATTTGATTTTAATAATAGATCTTTTTATATTATGTTATCTCTTTTTTAATATACATAAATTAATGCTTTATTTGAAAAAATAAGATTAATAGGGGACCCATGCAAAATTTATGTAGTACATATATATGTATATATATATATATTGAATAGCAAATGTTTGCTGAACAATATTTTTTTTATTAATATGTTATTGAAAATTAGTTTACAACTATACATTCTAGACTAAGGTGTCCACTTCGATTTGTCACGCAACGGCCAGCTGAACTTAAGGTAACCAGGAATCCAGCTGGCCGTTACTGCCGAGGCGACGGCGTGTTTGGCTGTTGTGATGGCGGGCAGGTGGTGCTTTGTTTCAGATAACGGCCAAGACAGTTGGCCGCGCTAGCCTCGTGTGGACGTCCAGTATAAGTTAGGATGCTGGAGTCGATGCCATTTAAGAAAAATATACACGCATGACATCGGTGAAGGGTTTTCGGCAGAGCGGGCACTTTGTCACGGACGACGCGCACTTGGCGCATGCCACCACATGGCCGCAGGGCAAAAATGCGGTATTGTACTCGGCCGCATAGCAGATCTTGCAGAGCTTTTCCTCGGGCACGACAGATGGAGCGCCAGTCGCTGTCGCTGCCGTGGGCATGGCTGTGCTGTCGGAGCCGCATTGAGCCACTATTTTGTCGTAGATGCGTGTGGCAGCTGTTGGCGCCACATCGCCCTCGCTGGCAGCAGCCTCTGGAGGCCCAGCAACACCAACAGCAACAGCAGCAGTAGCCGGAGCAATGTCTGAGGCTATAGCACTGCTGGCAGCACTTCGTATCGCACCAACGCTTAGGCTTTGAAGCTGTTCCTGCTCTTTCTCCTCGTCTTGCTTGGCTGCTTGAGCTGCAGCTGCAGCGACGCCATCGATATAGAGCTGACCCTTGATCAGCTTCACGAAGCGACATTGTCCGAGCCATAGAGCATGCTGCTCCCAGGGCTCGTCGTTGTCGTCCCAGTCCTTGAGGCCACCGCCGCAGCTGAAGCAGCGTACGCGATCGCCGACCCCTGTGTAAAAGAAACCCGCCTCGGCGAGCTGCTGCGGCTTTTGTTTCATGTTGCGTGGCCAATCCTCGTAGCTGCGCAGACGTGCCGACTCGATGGCGTACTCTGGATACTCGGGAAAATAATTGCCACCATTTGAGCTGTTTGTTGATGCTGGTGTCGTCGACGAGCCAGGACTTGCAACTCGCGCGGGCTGGAAACTGTTCATGCCCGTCGACTGTATAGACGGTAAGCCCTCGGAATAGGCATTCTCGCGTATATCCAAAGATGATGTATCGTTCGATCCACATACATCAAAGCTGGCTTGTGGCAGGTTGCGGTCCAAGGCGTCCGCATTTATAGGTAAATTGTTGGTGGTGCGACGACGCAGCAGTGGGCAGTTAGGCGACCAACGTAAATGCTCATTCACGGGATGATCTTCGTGCACCCACCGTCCAATCTCCACCTCACAGAAATAGCATTTGCACTTGTCTTCCTCATTCGTATAGAACATGCCAGTTTGCGCCAGCACATTCTTATCGAGCCAGGGCAAAGGCCAAGTCTCGAATGTCTTCAGGCGCTCATCCTCCCGATGGTATTTATCACTCATTCTGTTGACGAACGCCTTGAGCAGAAGCGTTGCTGTGCTGTTCGTACTGTTGTCCACCTGATCCAGGGCTGTTGACGTTGCAGTTGTTGTTACCGTTGTTACAGGTGCATAAGGAATGTACCTCGCTTGAGTTGCTACATTCGCCATCTTGATGATATAGAACTGTTGCTGCTTGTCGCTGTGTTGTTCCTTTGAATGTTCAATTGCAACTGCAAAAACAAAGCAGTAGAGCATTTATTAATATTTATTTTGTTAATAAAAAGATAACATATCGCTCAGATAGGAAAAAAGGTGTTCACTTTCAAGCGTAAGGCGGCAGGTGCCGCCTCAGGTCTTAATTCTAACTGAGCACAATATAATTATTTTACTTAATTTAACAATAAGCTCACTAGAAAAATATCAACAAATTATATATAAACATTTGACGATCATTCATAATTTCAAAACCGCATTTAAAAATAACTTTAAAATGCTGTTTCTAGCACTTTCGGAAACTGGTAAAGATATAGATAAAGGCATTATTCATTATGTTATCTTTCAGGCATTCTTGACAAATATAAAACAGTCAATTTCACACCGTGAATATTTAAAGAACATTTTTGACAATTTTTAATTTTTGAGTTCACGTTCTATACATAAATAAAAATATACATGCATACATTTTATTATACATATGAATTTAGTCAACAATGAACTTTAAAGCAGCCCTTAAAAAATAAGGGAAAAGCGGCTAGAGAGAGCTGTCTCGCTCGCACCAGCAACATTTAATGAATAAGGGTAGTTTCTGAAGATTATTTTTTCTGGCGTACATGGGGTTGTATCCAACATGCAGCAAACGTAGCGTAGTGTACGCTATCTTACAACTGCGTGTGGATGCAATGCGCCGATGCGAAGCTGCAACACGAATATCCTTGAAGCAGTCAACACAGCTGCTCGATTGAAAAAACGACTGAATAAAAAATACTCTGGCTATGCATGACAGTGCACACTGTAGTGAAGTGGTGGCGCCCATTCGGCGCAGTCAGATAAACTATCGCTGAGTCAATATCATTTCTACGTAAAAAGTATGAAAGGAAATATAAAATAGAAGTAATCTACTTTTTCTTTATAAATATGTCAACTGAATTCCAAGTAAAAAGCTTTGCAATAACATGAAATTATTTTAATCAGATTTGAATTATTGTCCGGAATTGCATGCAATTTTGTTGAGTTAGATAATTAACATAGGCATATTCAAACGATAGTTTAACTTATGCCATTGGTGTTGAACTGTTTTGGTGGTCTTTTTTATTACACGCAGCCAAAGAGATTGTAAGCCGCTTTTTTCGACATTTACTTCACGATAAGCTGCGGGGTGGGCAGGGAACAGGAGGCAGGAGGCAGGAGGCAGACACCAGGCCCAGCAGCGAGCACGAACCCCGTGTCGGGACATTGTACAAAGTCCAAATTTTAAAGCCAGGCCAGAGCAGAGCAAGACAAGCCACAAACCAGCCAAACACGCCAAACAATTGCAGCTCGACGGAGCAACGACTGCTGCTGCGGCAAAGAGACAGAAAGAGAGAGAGAAAGAGAGCAGAGGGGGTCTGGGTGGTTGGTTGGAGCTGGGGCAGTGCCAAGCACTCGTCGTGCAGCTCACAGCTTGCCCGACTGTGAGAAAGTTTTAATGGAATGCAGTCAAACGACTTCGCGGCGGCAGCAGCCGCAAGCAGCGCCCCACAGCATAAAAAAGCAGTGCAGCATAAATGCAACGTTGACTGCGCTGCCTTGTCGGAGAGCGTGTGCGACTGCAACAGCAATAGGCAGCTAAAACCATCAATGGAAAAACAACTATGCACGTATACACTCGTACACACTCGCACACGTACATTTACACAATCACAAACACACACTTACACAGACTTCACACAGATGCACTGGTTGGGTGCAAAGAAAGAGTGCAAAAAAAGAACAGAAACGGGCGCACAGTCCAAATGCAAAACAAATAAAAGCATAAAATAAAAACAAAAGCAATTGTAAATTACAAATGCCCGAGACGTTGGAGCTCTGCTAGGGTAGAGATTGTGCATTGTTTTTGAAGTGGAGCAACAGCAGCAGCAATACAGCATCAGACAAAGATGATAGCTTCGAGATGCTGCTGGATGGTTGCTAGTTCTTCTTGCTGTTGTTGTTACTGCTGCTTTGCTTCAATTACGCTGTTGTTGTTCCAAGTACAAAGTGCAGAAGCTTGCAATTACAGCTGCTTGCTGCTGTTGTTTTTGTAGTTAGTGTTGTTGCTCTTATTGTTGTGGAATGCATGCCCATTAACAATTGTAATGTAAACGCTTTGCCATTCTGTGTTTTTGTTTTACTGCATCACTCTTAGCAGGAAATGCCAGCAAAAGTTCAATATGCAGTCAGAGTCAATAAATAGTGTTGCCATATGTCAAAAAAATTTGCATTTGTTAAGCATGCAAGCACTTACCAGGGCTGCAGCGACGTACTATACTATATGCAAAATATATCGATAAAGCAATTAAAGCAACACAATACTTAAATTTTTAAAGAATTTAATTTTTAATGACATCTATGAACATATGCGCTTGTGCGCAGCAACAAATATGAACTGACAGAGTGGAAGACTAAAAAGGGCCTCCCGGGCACATGAATGACATGAGAACCTAGAAAAATACCAAAGTGGAAAAACGCACACACACACAGAAAATCTACTGCAAAAGCAAAGAAAAATCATAATCAAAGGCCAGACAGACAGCAACAGCCTAGGAGGCAAGGCAACAAACGGAGTAACAGAGTGCGCCCCATGCAACAAAACACAACACAGCCAAACCAAAGCAAACCAAACCAAACGAACCCAACGAGGCTCGCACTGGAATGCAGTTGAACAACTTTTCTACAAACTCTGCGCCACGCAAAATGCAAACAAAACAACACCAACTGAAGTTGGCTGGTTTTCTGATTGGAAACCAAGCATAGCTATAAAGCTGGGCTTGGGGATTGGAGTTTCAATGCTGTGTTGTAAGTGAAGGTAACCGCAGCCAGCAAAGGTCTCCACTGTGTGAGTGTATATATACATATGCATGCGTGTGTGTGTGTAACCTCAGACTGTGGGAAACTATTATAAACACTTTACCATTCTTTTTTCTCGGTTGTTGTTGTTGTCTTCTAAACTGAGATTGGAATGCGGTGATACCAGATACGAACGAGTGGAGCAACATGCAACGAACGAGCGAGCGAGTGGGATATAAGGAGAGGGAGCGACAAACAAGCATGAGTCGTCGTCACGCAGAACTTGAAGTACAGAGTGGAGAAGGACATGGGGAGAAGAAGCGAACGACGCCAACAAGAATACACAAACACACATATACGCGCACACATGCACAAATAATATGATGCGCGTGTATGTGGCTGTGTGTCCTTCCAAGAAATGCAGCAGCCAGCAACAACTAAAACAACAAGAACGCAACGACCGCCGACGACGGCGTCGATAATAATAATAAAATACACAAGATGCTGGCTGGCCATGTACTTAAAGAATGCCCAACAAAGGGCAATATCATCCGTAATCATAATAAATGCGACTGAGCCGCTGCAAGCTGCTGAAGGAATGCATTAAAGCGCGGCCTACTGCACTCTCTCTCTTTGTCCCTTTACGTCTCAAATCGCTATCTCGCTCTCTCGCATATTGAACATTGATCGATTGCCCAAAAACTAACGGCGGCTCAGTTCAAAGACCCGTTGCCCATAGTCTTGTTCTTCATCTCAAACCTAAAGTAAAGTCGTGCTGTCTTCTCTCTATCTAACTGGCAGCATCTATGAGACTTGGAATGTGGGTACGCTCTCATGAAAAAAAAAACACACACACAGAGACATACATACATACACACGCATTAAATGCGCCTTGTTAGTGTGTAGAATGGATGAAAGGTCGTTTTTCACGCGGCCAAGACTCAAAGGTCGTCTCGCATTCGAGATGATTCAGCCCAGAGAATTCCGGGAATTCCAAAGTAAATTTTCCTTCATCTCTACATCTCTTATGCCAGCATTTGTTCTTCAACTTCTCCTACTCCTTCTCATTTATATCTCTTTCAAGGGCCGCCGCGCCCTGGTCCATTCATGCTGATTGCTGTCGCGTCTGCTGGCGATAGCAAAGGGACAAGCACAAAAGACAATATGAAATCTTTGGAAAAAGGAGAAAAGACTCGAAACTACGTTACAGAATTTCCTTACTTCTTCAGCTACACGTGAGAATTGTTTATTAAGCGGAGTTATCTATAGTTTTATTGGTGAAAAGCGTGGAAAATCTAGTCAACAGTCCAGTTGCATTGTGAGCGTAGGCGTTGCCATACCATCGACCACCAGCGTGGCCCCTGGGGCTCTGCTCAGTGTAGGCGTCGGCTTGATGCGGGCGTTTTTTATTGTTATTCCAATAACAATAACAATCAAGCGTAGTCTCAGCTTCAGCTGAAAAGCTTCAGTTGATACTTTCTCTTTGTTGCTGTTTTTATTTTCTTTTGCCTTCTCTCTTCCTCTCTCTTTTCTTCTGCGAATTGAGCGCAAAAGTTCAAAGCAGTGGAGCATAAAAACTTCAACATCCATTGTGAAAATTGGCAACAATGCAATGCGATGGCTGCTGGCTTGGTCTCTTTGGCTATGGTTTTTGTGTTTGCTGCAGAGTGAAACTCAGCGTACGCATGAGCGAACCACTTCCGCTGCAAACGGAAATGAGGAACAAAGTAAAGAAAAACAAAAACTCTAAATACTTCTTTGCTGGGCTTGGGGGATTATATGATTGAGCCAAAGGAAGTATATGCCTGTGTGTGTATGCACACTCATCGGATGTAATAAAAACTGGAGCCAGAAACGACGCGTCATCAGCTAAGAAACTATGTTTATTATGATGAATGATACGAGAGAGCAAAAATACTACGTAAATAAAAAATAGGGAGAAGTAAAAACAGAATAATTAATCTAATTAGAACAAGTTCGATAGATAAGTGTGTGTCATAGCAGTTGACCTTCTAGCCTGTAAATATTAATTGGGCAACATTGTTTTTGCATACTACAGTCATCGGTTAAATATATAGACAACAACAACGCCAAAAATGGCGTAGTCGAAAATTCCAACGCAAACAAATAAGTGTCTGGCATTGTGTGTATGTCAGTACATATACCCTAGCCCCTCTCACACTCTCCCTCTCTCTTTCATATAAATGCGAATGTTTTTTTAGCGCCAGCAGTGCTGATATCATTCCCAATGAAATAGGGTTGCCATCATTTTCAAAGTGTTTACTTTAAGACTCACAAAAGCTAATATAAACAATGTGTCATGCACCGCTTAATATAAATGGAAAATACATTTCACGAGGATCAATTTTAAATGATAAAAAAAGTAATTTTGTAAACAAATTTATATAAAATCAACAAGAGCAACATTTAGCAACTCTGCGGCCGCCATCTTTTTACGCAAGCGACCTCATGTCTCTCGGCTGGTGAACGAATGTGCGAGAGAGACCCAAAAACGGGAACAAAATAACAGCCGGCCAAATTGTCGAAAGCGTTTTATCATACATGAACATACTGCATTTCATGAACATACGCAGTATAAAATTTGTACCAGTTTACTAATTATATATTCTGGATTTTAATCTAAAATTAACTTCATGAATTAGATGACTCAAAACCGATGATATAATTTTTGTTTGTTTATAAGGTAAAATGATTTTTGTAGTTTTGCCTTGTGTACCACCAACAAAATACTCACTAGCACTCGTTTGATGGTGTGTGTGCGCGTGTGTGGTTCTGTATGGCTGTGTTGTATATTTGTAAGCTGTAGCTTTAATTAATGTACATTGTGCAGGCAAACATACATATATATATATAGAGGAAAAAAACAGCTTTAGCTTTGTGATGTCACGTTTTCGTTTTTTTTTTTGGGGTTATCTAAATTCAAGTTAATTTAACTGCCATATAATACAACTTCAACTCACCTTGACAATTTTTCTCTTTTTGTTGAAAAACTCAAGTTCCCCTCACTTCTTGTTACTGTTAATCTTATAGTCTTTGCTGAGATTCGAGACGTTCTGCTTATCTCGCTTTACGATTATTGATTTTTTTCGTTTTGAGCGACGAGTTGACGTTGACGTTAACGGAAAACACACAAATACAGAGACGCGGACGTTACTGTATTTATTTTTTTTATTATATTTTGCTTTCTTGTTGCTGTTAAAATACTTCCAATATCACAATTTAGATTAGAGGCCGTAATACCAAAATCAAAACACTTTTTTCCTTTTATATTTTTTATAGTTGATTTCTAAATGCATTAAGTGATCAAAATTGTTGCGTATCCATAGCTTCTTAACTATTCGAGCTTCGAGACTGAACTGAACACACACCAAAAATATGAACGAGGGCAGCCACAGCGAACGACACGAACAACCAGATACGACAAGCAGTGTCGGTAGCAAACCCGACAACGGCCAACCCCGACGACGAAAAGAGAGAAAACATATGTATGCTGCACACATACAAACAAATGCATGCAAACAGGCAGCATATAGATGTGGTTTGAAATTTTATTCTACATGTTTTTTGGCTGCACTTCTCGGAACTTTGCAATTTTTGTTAATTTGTAAAGGAGCAAAAACATTTAAGTGATATTTCAGTAAAAACTATTGCTGCTCATTGTGCTGGCTTGCCATCAGAAAAGCATAAAAAACATATGTATATATGTTTTTTGTACACATATACATACATATTCAATAGGAGGTCGCCAGCCCGCTCAGCTTTGCTCTCATCTGGCAGTCTGGCCGGAGGGATGGCTGCATTGGCTTCACAATGACGCCCCCAATACACCCGTACAACTTCTACTACGGCAAGTGTTAGTACGCAAGATGGCGTACCGTATAATTGTATAACCGTATAGCCGTACAACGGATTGCTGCACTACAGTTATCCTTTTCCAACCAGCGCTAAATGGCTCGCCTGCACTGCAACAGTCTAGGATCATTGATTTTTTGCCATTGCCCAGGAGCATGCGCCTGCCAAATTCATCGGGCTCGTCCACTGTTTGACTCTTGGCGCGTGTCAATGCACCGTCATGACACGTCGTTGCAGCCCATAATTAACGCGCACCTTCCAGACGCAGACGCTAACACGGACTGCGACGCCGGCAAAGCAACGTCGACAGCAGCTGCTTTTATGTTTATATACTGTGTGGTATGTGCATATACCTATACATACTTATATGTATATATGTATATATATATATATATACACGTGTGTTTTGTATGCACATATGCTCCACTGCACTCGCTTACCTGTCCTACGCCCGGCATAGCTTTTGTATATATTTCTGGCTTAGACATTGGCAGCTGCAAAAATTATCAATAACGCGATAGAAGTTACGTGCTGGACTTGGACTTTTTCTATTTATTTCTACATAAACAACCCGTGCGTATGCGATAACTGATAAGGATATCAATTCATACAGAATTATGTCTGAATGTATATACATAGACGAGACTTGCGTGTGCATCTAAAATTATCATGTTACGATATAGTCTGGAAATTCTGATAATTAAAGCCAATACACGATAGAATATAGATGTAGTTATGTTTGGACATGGACATGAAAGAAGTAGCGAATGAATCGATTGCGATTATTGTCATCGATAAACGATTAATCATAAAGAAAAAGAGCCAAACCATTTTACACTTAATCAAGTGGTTTGCAATCTTTAAAAAGAAAACAATTTGTGATATTTTTTGGTTTAATCGTAGAATGAAAAAATTTTAATTAATCTATAGCTGATATTGCTATAATTATCAGTTCATATAAATAATAATAAAAAATAGTCTTTGTTCTTAAATTGAGGCGATAATAACTCTATAGCTAAGTGAATTTTTCTATGTATACAGAATGAAAGGAAATGCCAGCACGTATTTTGCAGCTGACTAGAATTAAATAAAATAAATAAATAAGAAAATGTTGTAAAAACAGGCAGATTACAGTGCGAGTCATGCGCTTAGCAACCGAACAGTTGCAGTTTTAAAATTTGAACTTTGCTTTTCTTCTATTTTTTGGTTTGCTTTTATTTTTATAAATAAAACGCAGCTAAAATTAAAATACGAGACGACGCGACGCATATTCCAAAAAAAAAAAAAAAAAACAAAAAAAAATAATGTAAACGACGTCTAGACGCTTGGCAAATACAAAAATCTTTTCTATTTTTGTGATCCATACAAAAATCTTTCCATAATTCTGCAGACTCAAAGATCACACAAAGCCCAATCAGAATCGATTTTCAACTCTTGCAAATGTTACTATAAAAACGGCCTTGCAAGGCCTTTTAAAGTTGTTGCACTCGCCTCTGCTTGTGGTTGTTGTTGTTGTTGTTAGTCAGCAACAAATACAAATGCAACTCACCTGCGCAGCTTGTGTTTAGTAATGCATTTATACATTTTGTTTCTGTTTTAATTGACAGTCAAATGCAGCAAAACCAGTTTCTTATTGGATTTTTTCGCATTTACTACTTGCAAAAGGTGTCATAACAACAACAAAAATAACTGAGAGGCTTGATTAGTTTGTCTGCATTACAACATCTGTTTCTTGCCCCCTTTGGCAGCTGGCAGCTGGCAGCTGGCATTGGCTGCCTCAAACAGAGCGCAGGACATTGATTGGGACGTGTGCCGGCAGCTTAGCGTCGAAAAAGGATCAAAAAAGGTGCGTGCAGCTGTTTCTTGATCCTGTTGTATCCTTATTGTTTGCGTGTTCTAGGAACGGAGCATAAGACGTTCGCTGCCAGGCTGAACAGGCTTCGGATCCTTAATGATTGAAAGACGCAGCGCGAACAATTGACGGCAGGCCAACAAACAAGACAGGAGACGTAAGAGTAATTGATGTATATACCTACACACGCGCACATATATATATATATATTTAAATATATATTTATTTATTTATGTATGTGAAACATCTCTTTGTACTGCTTTACTGCTTTGTTCGGTACCGTGTACTGCTTGCTGAACAGCTTTGTCATTATTAGCGCAACGCTTACACATTGCACAAGAACTGCTTTACACTGCTTAGCTACCATTGCCGCAATGCAGCTGAAGCACTTGAAGCCAACTGTGCAAACTCTGTACACATGAACAGTCCGAAGTCGTGGCAGAATTTTTTTCGATTCATAGATAATTTAAAAAAGCAGCTGTCAAGGTGTCAGAATTTATGAACATTAGATAAGAAAAAAATCTGATAAGTGTGGAATGATATAAGAATAGTCGGCAAAAGTACATTTTTATTAAGTTATAAAATGTCAAGAAATACCGCTATTATTAAAATGTAATTACACGAATGCTATAACGATTTTCTAGCAGTGTAGAAAAATTCCGCCCATATTAGTTGCGAAAGCAGATAGTAAACACGCTTATAACTTAAATAATGAGGTAACAGCTGATTACAATAGCAAAACAAACAGTCGAAGCTGTTGTCATTAAGAACGTGTACAGTAACAATAACAACAACAATTAGCAGTATGACATTGGGCGGCAATTAAAAATGGGAAAATTCTGCGAAATGCGAAACTACAATTCAAGTCGATGTGGGCGAGTGGGCGGACAGGCGAGTGGCGAGTGGGCGGACGGGTTGCCTATTGAACCTAAGGGGCGGGGTATGTGAGACGGCATGAATGAAATGCAATGAGCTAAGCATGGCGCACAAAACTACGTGATGTAAGGCGAAAATAGATGCGGCGAAGCGAGACATAGACAGAGAGAGGAAAAGGGAGAGGGAGAGGCGTAGAGAGGGTTGAAAATGGAATTGCATGGAATTGGGAAATGAAATATGCAGACTTCGCCTCGTATGAATGAAGTGCATACGAAGTCAAAGCGAATATCCTTTTAAAAGTCACTTTTGATACACACAAATATATATACATATATATATATATATATATATATATATATATATATATACACAACTTATAATACGCCTTTTGCACTCACCAAATTCATTTTGATTTCATATCTTATCAGTGAATGTTTGCAAATTTGTTGTGCGCCTTAAAAAATTCCGTTAATTTCGTTTTTAATTTGCTTTCCTTGTTTTTTTTTTTTTTTGTATATTGTTGTTGGCACTAGATAAGTATACAATGCGTTAATTATATTTTTATGCCCGGTAAAAAGTGTTCGATGATTGCTGTGACCGTTGGGCCTGAGTGTCACGGTGCGACTAGCAGAGAAAATGTTACGGCTGGCGTAGCCTATTTTGTTTTTCTATTGCATAGTTTTGTTTTGCTTTCTATGAAAGCAGCGGGTTGGAACGAGAACGAATACGTTTTTGTAATTGCGGAAGAGAACTGCGCAATAATTTTTGGGTGGTGGGTTTTGGGGGAGATTGCGCTCCGTAAGGGGGTTGCTGGTTAGAAAGAGAGAGAGGGAGAGCAAATTCAAATAAGAAGGGTAAAAAGATATTCTTCAATTAAGTGCGCGGCAAATCGATATTTATTTAAATTTATCCAATGCAGCCTTGGAACAGTGTTGCCTCAGATTTTTAGTTTTAGCATTGTGCACACACTGCTCTGCGTTAGTAGGCCATATTGAGTAGATGTTGAGGCAACATGTGGCGACAGTCACACTTTTCGTTCACAAGCAGCGCGCATTCACCATGTGCAGCAACATGTCACACTGACAGGGTCGCTCTCTTCTCTCTGTTTTGCGTTGTCTCTCTCTTTCATCAGTTTCATTTTAACCTTTGTCGTGGCCGCACGGGATGGCACGGATTGGTGAACGAAATTAAATTATTAAATTTACCCGAAATATGCACAATAAATTGAATTATTGTGCATTGCGCTGTCAAGCATCTGAGCACTAAAACAGTGCCCAACAATTTGCGCGTGCCGAATAGTAAAGTAAGTGCGCTTGCCTCTGTGTTCGTATCGGTTTCGATGCCGTTGCGCTGTGAAAAGTTTTTACTGCAATTTATACATTTTTCTCAACGTTTGCGTATGCGTGTTAGTGTATGTGTGCGTGTGTGTGCTTGTGGATGGAAGCGCTGTTAAATGCCTTTACATAATTACGAGCAGTATATTTCAGCATTAAAATTGGACTACAAAATCCCATTATATAAAGAAAAGCGAATATATTGAGAATATCGGTTTCCATCTTTAGTGGCGTACTTCGTTCTATTTACCCGCGTACCGACGTCAGCGTCGCGGCTGTTGAATTTATGTCAAATTGGTAACATACACACATACACACACAGTGTTGCATATAGCGTGTGGATGTGTGCGGGAGAGGGATTGTGTGGAAGAGCAGCGAGGCTGAGAGAGCGCGTGAACATACCTGCAATGATAAACAAAGTGTGAAGAGCAGCAGCAACAAATGTTCTTTCTTTTCTATTATATGCTCCCATTAATATTTGAAACTATACCATTGTGCGTATTCTGTGCTAAAATTTAAGTGAAGTGCGACAACCCTACACTACGACTGCAACATTAAAATGCCAGCAGCGCCTTAACGTCAACGTTGTCAGCTGCAGAGCGGCAGTGTTGTGTTTAATGTCAAATTTATTTACGCGCAACTTTTTGTTAAATTTTTTTCTTTACAGTCAAAAGCAGGAGCAGCAACGCGCAAATGGATACAATGTTTGTTTTTAATGTTAAGCGAAAACTAAGAATAAAAAAGAAGTGTGATAAATGCTAACACGAAAATTGTTTTGCAAGCGTGTGTAAGAAAAACGTTGGTGAGAACGCGCCAGCCTGCATGCGCGCCTCTGTGTGTGTGTGTGTGTGTTTGTGTGCATGTGCTGTGCGACTCTCCTCTGCTCCCGGGAGTGTGTGAGTGTGTGTGCGTTCGTTTATGCGTCTGTAAGTGTGTGAGTATGTGTGTGCAGTGAAGTGCAAAAGAAACACGATAAAAAAAAACACGCCAAGCAGTTGCGCCCGTTTTAGCTGATAAAGCGTATAGAAAAACGTACAACAACAACAGCACACAAAGCAGTAGGCACGAAACGAGTGAAAATAGAAAATTAATAATTTGCTAAAAGAAGCAGCACCACCATCATTCACACACAGACAATTTGTAAGTGATCAGTGCTAAAAAGCAAAAATAAAAAGTTAAAATATCGAAATTAATGTGAAAATTTTTCTATAAATAGTGTAAATCAAAATTCTCGGTGCAGCAAACAACTGCGGTTGCAATTGCAATTGCAATAACAATTACAAAAGCCACAACAAAAACAAAACAAAACAACAAGATTAACAACAATTATTCTACTTTGAGCGCAACTGTGTGTGGCGCCTCAAGCGCCGTTATTTAATATCAAGCACCTCAACAATAAACCGTCAAAATGTCATCGCTGGAGGTGCGCAACAATTCGGCCATGATGAAGCGGGCCGAGCAGCTGAAGCGCTGGGAAGAGTCGGACACAAATAGAGCCGCTCCCTCCCCACGCCACGAACATAGCCGCAGGATCAAATTCAGCTCGGGCTGCGTTTTTCTGGCCGCCTGTCTATCAGGTGACAAGGAGGAGGTGGTGCAGCTGCTCGATCAGGGCGCCGATATAAACACGGCCAATGTTGACGGGCTCACGGCTCTGCATCAGGTGCGTATTACATATACACATACATAGATTGCCTGTCTCGCTCTCGCAAATGTATCAATGATAAACTGTGAAATATATAAATGGAGCACATTACGTCAGAGATTGCGAACACGCGACCCCAGCAGGAATTGTAGCACTAGCAAAAGTGGGTGGGGCGAGAAGGGGTTTGAGGTAGGGTGTTGTTGATTTCGAAACTGTTGCGCCGCCCAACTGAGTAGCGGAGCAAGCGTCGCAGCTGGCGTGAACGTCGGCGCATGCTACATTTCTTTGATACCCTTCACTAACCTAGAAAGGGTATGATGATTTTGAACATCTTTTGATAAGCTTTATTAATTGAGGGGTGGTACGTATGCCTTTAATAGACAGAGCTTGCAAAGCACTAATTACATATATTATATTTTTTATAAATTAATATGTTATGTATTATATTTCAAATTTCAAAACAAACCTTGTATGTGGAAAACCAAACATTAGACAGGGTAATCGAGAGTAAGCGAATTCATAGTTATATAGAGCGATTAAACTAAAGGAAACGGTCTTTTTCTCGTCTGCACTAGGCTATGCGAACAAATGGGGTATATTGTGGGGAACGACACAGAGTCAGGGGTCCCAAAAAGTTTGTTTAAGTTAAATTTCCTATGTGTCATATCATAAGTGTTACAGGGTATTGGCTAACAGTTCAATTTGTTGGTATTTGTTACGGCGTATTTCGTGCTCTCGCTGCGGTTTCCAAAGCACCGCAAAACCACTAAAACATTAACAAATACATTTCTAATGCAAGCCGACGATTTACAAGTCGAATGCTCGAAACAAAAACAACAACAACCACAGCAACAAACAGCAAACGACGGCGCAAGCATTAAATAAGAAAAATACAAAAAATTTTCTATTTTTAATGCCAAGAAAAATATACAATATACACACATATATATATAAATGCATATACATAAGTCTATATACATATATATAGATATAGACAAATGCGCATTGTATATAGAAAAGATTTTCGCAAAATCATTTTCATTTTTCTTTCAATTTCGTTCGTTTGTTCTTTGAGCCATCGCATGAAAAATTTATACTCAAAACAAGAGAAAGAAAAAAATGAAAATCTATAGAAGAAAATAAAATTGAAATCTTTGTTGAAATTTATTTCATATGGCGCCTTTCAATGTAAATACAAAGACGAGAGACAGTTCAATGTATTTTGGCGAAAAAATGTTTATAATTTATATAAGATTCATAGCAGTATTTTCTCATGGATAAATTGAAAAAGTTTAAATGTAAATTGAATAAAAATCTATAGGAAAGTTGTTAAAGAAAAAAAAAAAACACCTAACAAAGCTAAAGACCGTATATTTAAATTGCTAAAAACAATTTAATATATGTATAGCAAACATGCTAGTCACAGGTTGTGTGTGTGTGTATGTGTGTTCACATACTTTTAGCGCTAACTGTCTTTTTTGTATGCAGTTAATTGATTTTAATTATGCTGCGCCCGCTAAGAGTCAAAAGATATTTTCACCGTTTAGTTGCGGCGCACTTGTTAACCAGATGTTAATATCTACATAATCAGATATCGAGTAGGTTATAGAGGGGGTTGAGGGCGTAACTGTAATTATAGCAATAATAACAATGGGAACTGTGCAAAGTCTTGAATTACCCGCGGCCGTTGATGTTGTTGTTGTTGCTGCTGCTGCTGCAGGTGCTATAGTTGTTGTTGTTGCTGTTAAACCGCAAAACTGAATTTCTATTGCATTTATTATGTGCTGTAAGTATTATAATTAATTAATTCATCGCTGAATTTGCTGATCAAAGTCAAAGCAAAGGCTCCGCTTGTATGCTTTCTTTTACAAGTGAAAATTGTTTGTTTCGGCTTTCATTCATAAACAAGCAACAAGCAGCAAGCAAACAAGCAACAGCAGCAGCAACAACAAACAGAGCCACAACACCTGGCTGCCATTTTCAATGGCAAAATCCAAAACGGCTGCCACCTTCGGCTATGAATGATGATGATGACAAACTGAACGACGGACGGCCAATACGATAGACAGACTGAGAGACAAACTCTTGGGGGCGGTGCGTTGACATTCAACTCGAAGAAGAGAAAAACTGAGGTTGCAGCAAAATGTTTTATGAAAATTGTAATAAATTATAATTTGTTTATTTACACATGTTGTAGATTGTCCTTACACATTTTCCATTCCATACATTCAATGTTCTTTCATGCATAGTTCAAGGATAATGTGATTTATATAAATAAGTGTTTGCCGCATGGCCAAACGTATTTATTTCTGCTATAATTAAAGTCTTTTTCTCTTTTTAATTGGGCTGGCTATAAATTTTGTAAGCTCTTTGGACAAGGCAAAGGTCAGGGCCTAGGAAAGATCAAGTATATTATATATTTAATTATTCAATTTACATTACATCTACATTGTTCTCTTTTTGGTCTAAATGTAGCTTTTTGCCTTTTGTTGTTTGAATCATATCCTCTAAACACAATCTCTTTGTTTTATTTTGGCTTCCGCTGAAACTGTTTTATAAACTTGTAGTTAGAGTATTATAGGATTATCACATATGTTAAACAAGAGATTTTATATACAAAAAGTCTGGACGATAAGCAACGTCAAGCAAGATATTTTAAAATTGTCTTCTAATTGGAATTTTCTTTTTATGATTTTCAGTTTTGTTATAAACTTCTATAGAAGCAATAGTTTTGAGATATGTCTGATAGGGTATTGAGTCGTCGATGTGCTTAAGATATTCATTCTTTTTAGTTTTTTTTTCGCTACTTTGCTGTTTGTTGGATTATAAGAAACACGCGTTTGCACAACACTTGACCCGTTATGGTCACATTATAATTAAGATGTCTTTTAGATTTCGGTGACATGTGTCTACAACAACAACGACAACAGCAGCAACAGCAGAAAAGCCTTGAAATAATGTATCATAATTTAATCGTAAATGCTGGCCAATTAGTTTGATCCATTTGCAATTGACAACTGGCTGAGGAGCCGGGCTAAATAAATTGTCGCATAAATTAGCTAATTATATTGTCAAGCTTGCAAATTGAGCGATATCTCTAAGCGCATGCATAAAACATAATAATAATGGCAACAAATCATGAACGTGATCGTTAGATGACCCCAAATAGATTTTCAATGTGATCTGTCTCGCTCGCTCTCGCCTCGCTCTTTTTTACTCTTTCTGGCCGAAATCCTGTCTCGGAAATTGTTGTTCAGCTTGTGCGTGAATTTTCCAAAACAAAAAAAAAAAAAAAAATAAGCAAAAGCAATAATAATATAATATTGTTTTGTTGTTCTTGTTGTTGATATTGTTAACGCGCTTTATTGACGTGTTTTGTAACCTTGGCCCGGTTCTAACTCTTCGATCTCTCTCTCTCTCTCTCTGTCGGTCTGAACAACATGGCAGACGGACAGACGGACATCTAAACGCACAGACAGATACGCGTAATATACAGCAAAACAGATACAAATCGAAAACATCCTCAAGAATTCACAGCGCGTGTTGCATATATATATGTATATATATATATACCTGTATATCGTATCTATATACATATATAAATGGTTTGCTGGCTCTGGCTACATTTGATTTGATTTATTTCTCGTTTGGTGTTTTACACCCAAAATAACAAACGATGCTGAAAATCTTGCGAATTGAGCAAAACTGAAAAATCGTTCTATGCGATGCGATTGCAAGTGTGTGTGTGAGTGCGTGTGTGTGAAGAGTGCATTGCATAATACCATTTGGAGCAAAATCTAAAATAACAACAACAACTGCCAAATGTACATTTAGCTATTAAATTTTTGTAGATATTACAACTGCCTTTCAACTAGCTCCCAGTTCTCCTTCCAATTGTATTATTTGAGCTCATTTTATTGCTCACACACACGGCTAGGAAAAACTTTTGAAAAAAAAAAAAACATTTTTTTTTGAATTAGCTTTTGCTTTTAAGGCGAACAACAGAAGAAATCTTTTTATTTTTGCAATATCCATGACGAAATGTTTATAAAAATAGTTCATCATATATCATTATATATATATTATCTGTATATTAAGGGTGGGTGGTTAGATGAAAGTGTTTTTTTGAAGTGGACATGTGCTGCTGCAAAGATCTTTACAGATTGGAATTGTATATCAATTCTATAAAATCCATAAATATTAAACACACTCAGTCGAATATTTTTTATTCCTAATTAAACATATATTCTGTTCACAACTAAATTGTGCTGATTAATGTGGCCCACTCGGACATTCCAAGCTCCATCGTAATATCATAAACAAATTCTATGAGCTATTTTTTGCCCCTAATACACACAATTTGTGATCCAGAAAATTATAAAGAATTTGTTTATGGCCGTCCATTGTATACATTCTTTGTTTCTTAATCATGTCCAAGCATTTACTATGGCATATATATTTATACACATATATATGTATTCCTGTTGGATCTGCTGCGAGCAGGTGGCTCTGCTCCAGTCTAGCAAGAATCTATTAGTAAACCTAACTGAAATAAGTCAACTGAGCAAAAATTCGAAAAACCGAGTAGAACTAATAGACGCCGCCTCGTTTATATTGCTTCTAATTTGTAGAATTTTTTTGGCAGCTAGGCGAGGGCGAGGCATTCAAGTGGCACAAGAACTTTCGCTCAAAAAAAAAAATCAAAAACAAAAAAAAAGAAACTAAAATTATTTGAAACTATGAAGGCTTGCCATAAGCCATAATACATACCATTTAGCCATGTGCCTCGCCATTGTGTATCCAAAATGCGAATCTTTTGTATATATTATATAGTCGAGTCACATTGAATATTGGACAAATGCCTTGAGGCTTCCGCTGCTAATTCAAATTGTTTTAGGCTAAAAAAAAAGACATCTCTTCAAGCGATTTGCTCGCTTTGCCAGCGATTGTTCAATTATCGCAATGACTATTCGTTTAAGCTATTCATTAAAATTACATTTAAGTAAATGGATTGGTTTTTTGTAGCAATGGGCATGATACATTTAAGCTTAATATATGCAGAACTGAATCACATCTTTTTCATCAAACACAACCTTAAAATAACGTATTTATTATAATAGCTTTCTTTGCGGTTCTTATTAAATTTAAGTATGTGAAAAGGTTTCAATGCCTGATACTTTTCCGCGTCTCTCTCAGATATATTCCTAAATTCTCAATATATCACTCTCATTCCTTGATGAATCTTCATGCTCTTCCTTGCTATTTTCTTCTATTTCATATATATCTATCTACATTTGTTTCTGGAGTCTTCTCTAACACTGATGACTTTTTTCATTCTTCCCTGATTGCCCTTACAATGGGCATTCCCTTTCATTGTTCTTATTCTCTTTTTCCTCTGTTTTCTTTCTCCCTTTATTATTTCCCCCTTTATCCATCGCTTATTGTGCAAAACTATGCTAATTAGTTCTGTTGAAGCTTAGAGCTTATACTAGTTGCATAGTAATGAAAATTTCAACAGCACTTATGAAAAAAAAGGAAGGATGTTGGCTCTAGTTGATATGCAGCTTAGTGTAGCAAGAGGGCGCTGGGCCTATGAGTAGTTAAGCGGCTTGTTGCTGTCGCAAAGTCGTCTCAACAAGTTGCTGCTGATTGCAGTTGTATGCGGCGTATACGTAATGCGCTGGGGTGAATAACATTTCACACAAAAAATGGCTAATAGAGGGACAGAGAGTGAGTGAGTGAATGAGAGGTAAAAGACAAAATGCCGCTCAATGGCGTGCCAAAAACAAAAGGCTAAACTTAGCATGCAATTCGCAGACCGATTTTCGCGCTGGCCAAGAAAAAATTCGCTTTCAATGCAATGAAAATAGCACAGAATTCGCCGCTGCTGTTGATGCTGCTATTGCTGCTATGGCTGACATTAACACCAGACCAGAAATCAAAAGTCACAAATTGCCAGGCAAATAGCTCATGTCAAATTTCGCATGCCAAAGTTGTTGTTGTTGCTGTTGTTGCTGCTGGGATGGTCACGCGTGGGCGGGCCGCCCATCGCTGTCGTCGTCGTCGTCAGTTGTCGCTGTCGTCAGTTGGTCAGTTTATCAAAATTGTTCATAATTAATTAATTGGCTGCGTTCCAGATTTGCAAATTGTTCATTCTCTCTCCACCGCTTAGTTCGTTTAGGTTTGACTGGGTTTGGTTTTGTGTTCCGCCTTTTATGCGTTTTACTGCGAAATGGAAATTGCTTTTGCATTTGCAAACGGGCAGCCCCTTAAATATAAAACAAAATAAAAAATCAACTAAATTAACATATGTGGCGGACTATAAAAAAAAACTAAATAAGACAGAACCGAACCTTTGATTTTGAATACCCCACACGCGCTTATCAAATGACAACAATTGAGCGAATTCGTATTGGTATTGGAGCTTCATGTTAATGTTGTTCTCTTTTCTATTTTGTTGTTAAGAATTCTTATCGGCATTTCACTGCCCACTAAGCGCTGCATTGTTGTTGTTGGGCGGGTTTGTCGCTAGATAGCGGCATATAGAAGCCGACGGAGTTGCTCACGATGATATCATCGCCATCATCGGTTGTCGTTGTCGACGTTGTCGTTGTCGTCGTCGTCGTCGTCGTCGTCTTCATTCTGCATACGCAGACTGGCGATGTCTTCGTTTCAGCGGAAATCCGCATAAACAACGTTGCCCATGTGCCATAGTCGGTACCAGTTCCAGTCTATATATCTATCTATATGTAACACTGATCTATGTGTGTGTGTGTTTACTTTAGCGTTTTTAGCAAGATAAACACGAATGTAGCAGAGCTATTAAAACATGGCACAATTACTTATACAAAAACATGCCCCAGCAGTATAAGAGTCCAGAAACGACGGCAGCAGTCGAATCCCTAAAGATAAAAATAAATTCGCACAATACATTGATATTTCATTGTATTTAGTCGAATCTCTAGCATAAGCAATTGCCAAACAGTAAACAAGGGGTATATGTAAATTGATCAACTGTGAAGAAATGCAAATTATATCAAAAAGCAGCTTCAGATAATTGTTAAATTATTCATTTCTTTATGTCTGCGCCTCGGAATGTATCGAATGTAACATGAGAGGTTCATTGGCCAAATCAATTGAAAGTATTTGAATTTCTTAATGTTAACGAAATCATTTAACAAATGGATTTTGCATATAGTTTTTATATAGCATAGTTTACGGATCATGAAAACTAAACCAAACTTAATAAAAGTATTTGTGGGTCCAACTTAATTTGGGGTAAATTACATTATAAGGCAGTATCCAAAGTCCATTTGATATTTGATAAACCTCGGGAAAGTAATAATCGATGTATACAAACTATTACACAATTTACACAAACTCTTATGAGGATATCTTACATATCTCATATAACGACTTTAATAAATATAAATAGCCTAATACAATTATAGCTAATATTCTTATGTTCTGTCAATTTTGTGTACATTAAATGAAGAACTAGAAAATTTAATAATAAAACCTAATCAAAATGTTTTTTACAGGCCTGCATCGATGACAAACTCGAGATGGTAGAGTTTTTAATAGAGCACGGAGCCGATATCAATCGTCAAGACAATGAGGGCTGGACGCCACTGCATGCTACCGCCTCCTGCGGGTGAGTAACCATTCAAAGGAATGCAAAACACTTTCGCTAATCAACCACATTTACAGCTTTGTGAGCATAGCCTGCTACCTGGTAGAGCACAACGCGGATGTGGCTGCCGTGAATAGCGATGGGGATCTGGCGCTGGATTTGGCAATCGATGTGCAGCATATGCCCATGATTAACTATATGGAAAAGGTGGTGCAGGAGCTCAATATTGATGTGGATCAGGCACGCAGAGCCGAGGAGCAGGCCATGCTTAAGGATGCGAAGCGCAGCGATGCATCCGAGGTGGATCGACCGCATCCAAAAACTGGTGCAACAGCGTTGCATGTGGCTGCTGCCAAGGGCTATACGAAAGTGCTGCGTCTGCTACTCGCTGGTGGCAGCAATGTGGATAGGCAGGATAACGATGGCTGGACACCATTGCATGCTGCCGCACACTGGGGCCAGAAGGAGGCAGCTGAAATGCTGGTGGAGTCATCGGCCGATATGGATATATCCAATTATGCTGGCCAATCCTGTATCGATGTGGCCGATCGCAAAATGGTCAAATTCCTCGAAGAACTGCGCGCCAACAAGCGCAACAAACGGCGTCCATCTAGTCAAATCAGGTAAGTAACCAATTAAACAATCATATCAATTAAAATCAATTAAAAAACAATTCTTCTGTTCTTTTCACAGCAGAATCTCAGACGCGATTGAAAATCATGTGGACAAAACACGAACGAAACTCGTACGCGTTGAAGTGAGAACTGATACCGCTAAGGATGGTGCGTAAAATTAACTGCAGTAAAAGCTATCAATGATCCTCCCACTCAAACCAAGCGCAGCCGCTGATTTGTATATTTTATATAAAAAGCTTTCTTTAATTTCTATGCCAAATTTTGTGCGTGTCTTTGTTTGTTTTTCAATTGTGTCACTCAATTAGGTTCTCATGCGCGTTAAAATTTCGGTTTAAAGCATTTATTACAAACACACTTGTCACTGCCTTTGTCCATATCCATGCCCACACCCACGTCTCATCTCATATGCAGCTGCCTACTCTGTATGTTTTGCGTCTCATCTTTATGATTATCAATGTCATCAAACTCATCATCTAGTCAACAGTTTGTGTAATGCTCTCTCTTATACTCTCTTTCTCCCTGACTCGCTGCTTGTTACCTCTCTCTCTCTCTCGCCCGCCCGCCCGCACTCAATCTGCTATCTGTATTTGCTCTATTCGTGTCTTGTCTTTGTCCACACCGCACACTGCAGCTGCGAGCGGTTCGCTTAATGCTGGCGCTCAGTTGGCGCCCCAAGATGTTGCTGCCATTGTTGAGACTGCTGCCAAGGATCATAATGATGATGTTGATGTTGATGTTGATAATGAAGATGATACCGATTCAGAGCTCAGCGACTCCACAGAGAGCTCACACAGCACAAGTCTAACCGAGAGCGAAGGTAGTCGCTAAATTGTTTAGAGCCTCAGTTACTTACCCACCCCTCAATGTGCTTAAAGCCTGCATTAAGCAAAGACTAACCGATTATATTGATATGTTTGTATGGCGTATAGCATTATCTAATAGTTTCATATTTGCACTTGCAGCTGAAAATGTTAAGCCCAATCAGCATATTCATACCGCCGAGCATTCTGGCGAGGAGGAGGCGCCTTGGCGACGCAAAACGCTGCGTACGCCCAACGACAGTCCCACTAAGAATCGTACGTAATCCTCACGCTTAATGATATACAGTTAACAACAGTCTATATATCTTGCTTTACAGAAGTTCCTGACAAAGACCTAAGCGGCAAGAGCGCCAATGAGACCGCCAACGATGTCATCTTGCGACGCACACAAAGCTTTGAGAATGATCAAAAGTGAGTTGAGCACACACACACGCGCACACCTTGCATAACTAGACATAAATGCGTGCCACACACACATACACACACACTGTCACATATTCATACACACATACACTGCAAATTAACCCGCATTTTACTACTATTTTAATGTGTCACAATTTGCACAATTTCGGTTAATTTTGCCGTTTGTGTTTCACTTTTTGCTGATTGCGCGCCGCTTATCAATAAACACCTCACGCAGCTTACACACACTTATAGATACCTCATCACATACACGGACACAAATACACTTACTTATATTTGTATTGACCATTATCGAACTTTTTAAATTTAGCCACACTCTCAACTGTTCAACTGTTGCTCGAACAGCCTATGAATCAGTTATAGAATTTCGAGAATTAATTTATTGTATAAATGGTCAGCGTTTAGTGTTCAAATTCTCTACAGAGTATTCAAGTCTCTGCTGCAGCGCTGCGGCAAATTGTGAAGCATAAACTGTAAACAACAGAAAAGAAGCTTGAAATTTGTTATATATTTTTTAAAATTTGATTTGTTTTGCTATTTATTTTTTTTGTGTGTTCTTTTTCTTATGTGCAACAACAACAACATCTACTACTACAACAACAACAACTACAATTATTCACATCGCACCAATTCATCAAACGCTTATCAAAAAATCCAATTCTAACCCGCCCGCCCGCCTGACAACCACCCCGCCCAACCGCCTGCCCGTCTGTTCGACCTGATCCGCGCAGATTCTATCAAAAGTACAATGAGCTGCGGGCACGCATAAAGGCGAACTCATGTCCCATACTGCCAGCGACGACGGCGGCGAATGCTCTGCCCGGCAATAATGCTAATAACAACAATAACCAAAGTAGCAATAACAACAATAATAACAATAACAACAATAATAATAATAATAAGAGCGCGCTGCTGTTGGGAAAGACTGTGAGCACAACCAGCATCAGCAGCAGTGGCAGCAGCAGCAACAACACAACAACAACAACAACCACATTCAACACACACACCAACAACACAACCACAACAGCAACAGCAGCTACTGCAGCAAATTCAAGTCAAATTTATAGCGTACAAAGATCGGCATCCCTCAAAGATAACTCAGTATATTTCAGGTTTGTTTTGTGCTAAACGAAAAAACAACTCGGTAACACCTAATCACAACTCCTAACTAACTGTAATTAACTAGCAAGTAATTTATATATCAACTATAGAACTGTAAACTAAACTCTATATATAATCATTGCTTTTGCTTAGCTTCTATATGCATATATATATAGTCCACATATACCTATATATGTATATATATCCTCGACAAATTCTCATTGCACCAACAACAAAGTCTACTTAACATTTATTTTTTTTTTTTTTTTTTTTTTTTTTTTTTTTTTTCGTTTTTATTTCTTTATTTTGTTGCAGCTTATTGTCTTAGACTCTATAGCGCATTTAGCTCTAAACCTTAACTAATGGGAGGGCAGATATGCCAATTATTCTGCACTTGTAGCTACTATCTTAATTAGTTCTAATATTGTCTAGAGGATGCAATCTCTTCAGTCTTCGCCTATTGTTGTTTATAGCCAGGTTGCTTGCGAGATGGTTAGGATGCGCTGCAAGTCTGTCCGCGTATCTTGAACTGTGTCGCCCAATGAGTTCAGCAACTGTGGGAATTGCTAAATCCCTATGTAAGACTGAGTTTCTTACAAACCAGCTGGCTCCAGTCCATCTGCGTAGTGCTTTATTCTGCAGGGTCTGAATTTTGTTCCTTGTAGTCTTCGCCGAGGAGCCCCATAGAGAGATACCATATACGAAGGTTGGGACAACTATTGCCTTGTAGATGGCGGCCTTGCTGCTGTAAGACAACTTGCTTGAAGCTCTCAGCATCCAGTCGAGGGTTTTTAGCTTGCTTTTGCATTTTGAGGTTACTTGACTTATGTGCGCTTTAAAAGTCAGCCTTCTGTCAAGAGTGATACCAAGGTACTTTACTTTTGAGGCTTTGGGAATAGTGGGCCCCAATGCAACGCTTGGGCAATCTCCTCTTCTAGTGGCGAAGGTAGTATGTACAGACTTTTGTGCATTAATGGTGATACACCACCGTTTTGCCCAGCGTCCGAAAGAGTCCAGATATTTTTGTAGTGAGTCTGAAGCTTCTTGCGCAGATACGTGACGTGATAAGATGGCGGTGTCATCTGCATAGGTCGCTATGAGTACTGCATCTGTACTTCCTATATTTGGCTCGGGAGTTGGCATATCTCCTGTGAATAAAGTATAAAGTGTTGGGCCTAGAACACTACCCTGTGGTACTCCAGCCATAATTGGTCTAGTCAAGGATACTGTTTGCCCCCTTGACACTTGGAAGGTTCTTCCAATAAGGTATGAGGATAGCAACGCGAAAAATGGGGCTGGAAGGGTGGTCCTCACTTTCTGCAGCAGTCCCAGGTGCCAAACTCGATCAAACGCCTGTTTGATGTCTAAAAAGACGGCAGAGCAGTACATCTTTTCTTCAAAGGCTCCAAGGATATGGTGCACAACTCTGTGAACCTGTTCCGGTGTTCCATGCTGTCTCCTGAAGCCAAACTGATGGTTTGGAATGGCCTCCTGGCGTCCCAGATGTGTCAGTACTCGTTCCAGAAATATTCTTTCGAATATTTTGGAGAGTACTGGCAACAGGCTAATTGGTCTGTACGACTCAATTTCTCCCACGGGTTTGCCAGGCTTAGGAATCATCACAATCACGGCGCGCTTCCAGCAGGCTGGAAAGTGCCGGATGCGGAGCATGGCGTTGTACACCATAGTTATGTAGTCTATGGTGGAGTCAGGCAGTGCTCTAAGGACTCTGCCGTTTATTAGATCATATCCAGGGGATTTTTTTGCCTTCACTCTTCTGATGTGTTCAAGAACCTCTTCTTTTGTACATCCAGTTATCTGGTCTTCAGCTGGGAGGGGCGAGAGAACGATGTCTTCTGTTGCTTCGATTTCTGAGGCCTCTGCGGTAATCACCGGCGTGAATTGGTCTTGAAGGTGGTTTGCAAAAGCCTCAGCTTGAGCTTCGTCTCCAATGTGCCAGGAACCAGAAATGCTCCGAATGGGATGACGTCGTATTGGCTGCCGTTTGAGCTTTCTTGTAAATTTCCATAATTGAAACTCTGCGTCAGTGGGCGATTCAGCTCGTACCAGCGCATCGCTGATACACCTCTTTTGAAGCAGGGCGAGAGCAGCTTTAAGATGCCTCGTGGCTTCGTTGTACATGGATTTGGCATCAGGCGTGCGTAATCTTAACCAGCGTCTCCTGGCCCATCTTTTGTGTATTAGTAGGTGTTGGGCCTCCAAGGTGAGGGGGATGTTGTACGGAGACTGTTGTCTTGTTTGGCAAGATGGTGGGGCGGCTTGGTGCGCAGCTTTGACTATTTCTTCCTGCAGTTTGTTTGCTGCGTAGTCCACGTCTTCAGGAGTGTTAAGTTCCATTTCTATGTGCAAAGAGTAATGGAGCTCGCGCCTAAAGACTCCTAAATCTGATCCTGCTGGCAGTAGTTGTTTCCTAATGGGCAAGGGCTGTGGCTGCGCGTGGATTGTGACTATTAGTGGCAGGTGGTCAGAGGATAGGTCCAAGGATTCTTCAATGGTCAATTGCCGGTCACAGATGCCTTTGTAGACAGCGAAGTCGATTGCCGAGGGCCTGTGTCCATTAATTGGGTAACGGGTGGGGGCTCCAGTCGCCAATATGCTGAATTGTAAGTTTTGAATCGCCTCAAATATGACTTCTCCGCGACGATTCGCACTATTGCTTCCCCAAAATGGGTGCCATCCATTCCAGTCGCCGCCGATGAGGGTCTTATTCAACCTTTGGCCTAGAACCTGTTCCATGTGATGATCACACAGACCAGTGTTTGGCGGAAGATAAATTGACGCAACTTCGATCGCTCCAATAGACGTAGGCAGGGTGATGGCTGAGACCTGCATTGTTGCGTTGCAAATTGGCAGTAAAGGTGTATGCGGTATTGTTGCTCGTATGAGGATTGAGGATCCACCAAAGCAGTTTGCTCCTTCACCATGAGCCTGATAGTGTTCGTATCCGAAAATTTGTGTAGTGGGGCACTCATGAGTTTCTGTTATTAACATTATATCTATGTTTTCTTGTGAGAGAAACGCAGCCAGTTCCTGAGTCTTGTTTCTCAGGCCATTGGCGTTCCAGATACCCACACGTAAAGCCATTATTTGTAGGCAAGCTTGGTTATGATGGCCATTAAACTGTTTAGCATGGTTGCTTGTTGGGATTGTACTTCTCGCATCGCTTTGAGCTCGGCATTAATTGCGTCAAACTGACGTTGTTGTTGCTGAAGCATTTCAGTGAACAAAGTGTCACTTGTGGTATTCTTATTTGACGGTCCACCTCTAGCGGCCTGTGCGTAAGAAACACCACTAATAGGCGTTGCAAAGCTCGTGGCTTGGGTAATGCTCCGGGGCCTTGTAATTTCGGAAGCAGTACTCGGACCCGTAGACGGTGTTTGTGTGGGACTCCTTTTTTGTGCTGGGGATTGCAATTTGCGCAACCGCTTGTATACTTGGCAGCCCTTATAGTTGGCTGGGTGCTGTAACTCACAGTGCACACAAGTTGGTGCCTGGTCCTTTTCGCGGGTGCAGTCTTTGGATGCGTGTTTCCCGGCGCAACGCACACATCTGGGAGCTTTGTGGCAGTAGCGTTGTGTGTGTCCAAATTCTTGACAGCGATGGCATTGTGTCAGGTCGTTGTATCTTCTTGGCAGTTCCACTGTGCAGCGTTGCCTGCAGACAACTCGAATGTCCAAAATTTCTTTGTTGTTGGGGGCCTGAGCCACGTCAACAAAAAATATATTTAGCGGTGTTTTGTCCATACGGCTCAGTGGGTTGTGCACATTTGTAATTGTGTGGCCTTTGGTTTCCAATTCCTTTTTAATTAGTGTTGTATCAGTGCTGGAGTGAAGCCCTTTGAACACGACTCTATATGGTTTGTCCTCCTTAAGCTGGTAGCAGTGGAACTCCAATTCCAGCTTAGTAAAGTGGTCTATAACTCTGCGATAGTCCTCACTGCATTGGGTTAATACACCTATGTTATTCTTCTTTGGCTTAATTACGTATGATTTAGCATCAATTACTTTATCTATTATCTGTTGAAGTAGGGCCACAGACTTGATGTTTGGACACCATATGGGGGGCGGACGAGGTTTCGGAGTAGTTTGCTGGTCGGTCAATACTGGGGCTTCTGGAGCTACAGGTGATTCGCTGTAGTCTTCATCTTCTTCTACGAGCAGTGAAAATCGATTTTCTGATATTAATGCTGCATTGCTGGTGCTTGGTTCGTCGAAGATGAGCCTTTTCTTGATGGTTTTTGGTGAATTTGGCTGTTTACGTTTCGTGTTTTTGTTGTTAGTGATGCCTTGCACGGAGGCGATATCTATTTTTGAGTTTATTGGCATGATGGAGGCTTGCCTATTTGCCATCACAACGTTAAGCTGGGCTTGCATTTCTGCATTTACCTTTACAGCTGTAGCGAGGTTATTGACATTAGATGTCATCGCGGATTGTGCTTTTGAGTGCAGGCGCACTCGCGCCAAGCGACGAAATTTCGTAAATTGCAATTAAAGCAATTGAGTTACGCGGAAGCAAGCGATAAGAAAACGCTGCGTGTGCGGTTTTTGTTGCTGTTGCGTTGAAGAATGCACCGCAAAGTTCTATTTTTAGAACTCTGCAGCAGTAGAGCTTAAGCGAAGGCTGTTCGAATTCACGTCTTTACAGGTCGAACGACTGATCGCGATTGTAACATTTATTTAGGCAATGCGCACTATGTCGTCTATCTCTCTTAGATGTGCTCTTGAACATTAGTTAGACTCTCTCTAATGTTTTGCTCTCTTTCTCTCTCTCTCTTTGTCAATTTCTCTCAATTTGTATTGCTGCTCTCACAGGAAACCGATTGCTCCAGTTACGATGCTTACGGCAGCAACAACGACTACAACAACAACGACGACGCTCAGCTCACCCGCAACAACTGTGCTCACCCCACCTATTCGCAGGTGAGTGTCAAGTTATAAATAGTTCTCTGTCGATTAAAGTGTGAATTAGGAACGAAGTAGATTTAATAGAACATTTTAAAGTGAGCAAAACAAAGAAATATGCTAGTTATTAAGCCGAATATCGAGAATATCGTTATCGGTTGAGAATTATCGATCAATTTTAATGTAAATTTTTCATGAATTGTATACGATATTCACTGTTAATTAGCTTTAAGTTTTATATTGTATTATCGGTTTATTATATATACGAAAATATTTGTTAGCAATCCGGCCAACAGCAGCAACAATAATAATAGCAACAACAACAATGGCAGCTCTACGGCCAGTGCCAGTGCCAGTGCCAGCGATGTGGAGACCCCGAAACCCAAGCAATCGGCTGGCAATATATTCAAGAACTTTTTCAAGTAATGATTACGTAACATAACTGTTAATTGGTTAATAACTGTTGTTTTGCGCTAACCCGAAAAGCCGTTACTCTCTGTGCTAGCTCTGCTAACTCTCAACTCTGCCCCGCCCAACAAGACGACAATTTGTCTTGTGTAGCATGAGCTCTCAATATCTATTGCTTATTTATTGAGAACTTTAATCTATATCTATATTTGTTTCCTCTATGTAGATCCTTTGTGCCGCCTGTGCGTGACGAGGAGAGCGAAACTCAGCGCAAGGCTCATGCGAAGCGAGTCCGTGAGACGCGTCGCTCTACACAGGGTGTTACGCTCGAGGAGATCAAGAGCGCCGAGGAGCTGGTGAAGAAGAAAAACATGGGCATGAACAACAACAACAATAACAACAACAACAGCAGCAGCGTAAGTAGTTTGTGGGCCCAAGCCATACAAAATAAGAATGAAAACAATTTAGAAACAAATCTCACCCAACAAATCCACACACATCGAAATCAATCAAGAGATCGTTAGCAAATATCGTAGATCAGCCAGAGCCATACACACGTAATCATCCAGCATAAATATATACTAGATGTATATACAATATATAGTTATTATACGTAGTTGAAAAGAGGTTTTCATTTAAGCATTTATACAGACGATGTCATACAACACCACCAACACCAACACCAACAACAACAACAACAACTGCTTATGGTTATGGTGTTCCCATTAATGTATTCGTTGTGTTTTGTTCCCTCCACAAATAAAGAGTGCCATATTTATGTGTGCGTGTGTGTGTGTGCCTGGGTGTGTGAGTGAGTGTGTGTGCAGTTTTACACCTCACTTTCTCGCGCTCAGTCTCCGAATTCCTATCTCATATCATTGCAGTCGTTTAGTGTTCTCACTGCGCACATATCAAATTTGGTGTTTGTCAATTTCATGTATCCCACCCACTATATATGCGTGTGTGTGTATGTGTGTGTGCGTGAGCATGTTTGTTCAGCCTAGTTTTAAAGAAATTAAGCTTTATGGTAGCACTTAGTGAAAACCAATCCAATTCTGTTTCCCAAACACTATGCAAGCAAGCGACACTTGAGACTTAAGTTGATGATAAACTCTTCAAGTACTTTGCCTGCTTGCATAGCGTGTGTGAAAAGCAGAGTCAATCCGAAACTGTAGTTTAGTTGTTCATATTCTCAATCAGCGTGTTCACTCATCAATCAAATCAAATCAAAGTTGATCAGTCGATCAATCAATCAGCACTCATTTAGCCTGCGTTCAGCTGCAACAAACTTAACAATCAAAACCGAGCGCCAATCAAATTGTGTGTTTTACTGCGTTTGCGTTTGCGTTTGAGATCGAGTCTGCATCCGAGTTCGTTTTCTTTGTATTCTTGCGCCGCTGATCAAATTGAAAGTAAATGCCTCGCAAACGCCGCCTTCGCCTGCCACGCCCAACGCCCGCCGCTCGCCCAAAACGCCGCGTTTGCAACGGTTCATCACAATGAAAATCAAAATTAAAATCAAAATTTTCATTTATCTGCAGATTTTATACTTTTGATATAAGAGTAGCTCGTTTTATTAGTCTGATTTCATCAAAGCGAATAGTGTAATTAATTGTATGTATTTTAAGTTAACTTATTTATATATATAACTGATTGCTCAGTTTATTATACTATATATACATCTTATTTATGTATTTGTGCATGTGACAATTTGCATGCGTTTAGAGTTTTTTTTTTTTACAAGTATATCAAAGTGCCGGCGCACACTACGTATGTCGTATGTATGTCTTCTATCGTTTATCGCAAACTGTTTATGATCGTTAGCGTGTCCCTCAGCCCCTGTCCACTGATTACCCTCTAAAAGAAAAGAAACTCATCCAGAAACGCCATTTGATTTTTGTTTTTGAAGACAACGCGCAGGTCAACTGTTTTTTTATTTGTTCCACAACTAATATTATTAACAGAATGAAACAAGCTCCACCACAACAACAACAACAACACCAGCTACAGCAACTCCAAGCACAACAACTGTAACAACAACAACAACAATTACAACAGCCAACAACATCAGTGAGAACGACATTGACGACAGCAGCCAGCAAGAGGCGCAGCCCCCACCACCACCCACAAGTCCGCCACCAGCCATAATACCCAGGACGACAACCACAGCGGATGATTCTGAAATAATTGAAGCTGTGGTTGGCATCGCCGATACCACCGCTAGTTTCACACTTGCACCGCCAGCCACACGCGTATCCTATGATGACTGTGATGATACAGCTGTCGAGGATGACCAGCAGACGGCGGTCAGTGCCAGTTATACGATAGTCTCTCGACGGGAGAAGCCCGTCGAGGCAGAGACTGATCAGGACATGAAGAAAGCAGAAGATAATGAGTCGAACAGCAACAAACAAGTAAAGACTGACCCAGTAGTTGCCAAGCAAACTCATGTGACGGATACCGAGACCAGCAGCGAATCGACATCAAATCCTGCTAGGCCCACAGAGTTGCCGCTAGCCTCCGCAGCATCGGCTGAGAGCAAACCGGCGACAACGACGCCTGCAACAACGCCTGGTAGTCTAGAGAGTCCTGTGCGATTGCGTGATAAGCGCAATCTAAGCAGCAGCTCAGCTGCCGGATCTGCCCAGGATGCGGATGGCAAGTCGGATACGGTCTCGCCAGTGGCTGCACATGCAGATTTTAATGCGCGCGACTCGTTGCTCAGTTTGTACGCACGTCGCACTATGGAGAGTGGTGCAGGTGGTGCTAGTGGTGCGGCGAGTGCTGCTGCTGCTGCTGCTGCTGTTGTGGCGCCATCAACGTCTTCCTCTTCAAGCACATCCATATCAGCAGCTGAGCGACGTCCGTCTTGGCGTCTCAAGTTCGATGCGGGCTCAAAGGTATGCACACAACAACAACAACAAACAACAACAACAACAGACAATCCGACTGACCGTTAATCGAACAGACCTTAAAGAACAGCCGTTTGGTACGCTCCACAAAACTATTTCGACTTGCTTCTATAAAAAACCAAACAGTGTGCGATATTGTTAAGCTTTAAGTGTAGCATGTTTTCTTTTAGTGTAGAGTATATAAAATTATTAAACCAGGGCTGCGCAACCCAACTGACATGGAAAGAATTCTGTTCTAAATCTGAGTTCAATTCGGTTTGCAGCCCTAATAAATGTTATCTGAACAAATTCATCTGACTTCGGTGCACCGAAGCTGCGTGTACCCTTACAATAAAAGCGCAATTACTGAAGGTGATTACCATGCGAAATTTAAAATATTTATAGAATTATATAAACAATATATATTTATAGTATTATTCATAATACCGTATTTCCATATCAATATAATTGCAATTGTACAGAATTTTTCATTGTGAGGGTTTCGCATTGAATGAATTTGTTGTTTGTATTTTTATTGTAGCTGTTAAACATTGTTTTTCTTTTTATTTTCTCATAAGTTACATATTTGTTTTTTAATTGAAATTTTTATTTGATTATTCATGATCGCCTGTCTCGATTGCTATGCATCTGCCTCTTAATGTGAATAACTATCCTATGTATAAATATGTATATGTATGTATTTATGTATTTGTTTTTAATTGTAGCATATATATATTTACTCTCCGAAACATGATATCGCACATTCGGCTAATGAACATTATTTTGTGCATATATATTATATATACATGCCTAAATGCGTCTGCCCATTGAATATTATTCATTAATTAACGCTTATTAACTTTTTGCTATGTATGGCTTGCTTTCTTTTGTTTAATTAAGCATTTGTATACCGTATGTTTTATTAATATTTATTGATGGGGAACTTTAATTGTTTATAATATGAAAGTATATGAATATTCTTGTTGGACTGAGATAACGTTTAGGCACAATGCTTCGATAAAACAATTTATTTAATATTATTTAAAAAACAATTGCATGCTAGCTTAAATTAAATATTAAATATAAAATAAATTGAAATTGCACCATTTGGAAACTAAAGTAAATGAAGGTTGAAAGGAAGAAAAACTATTTTGGAATAATATTTCAAGGTTTCTGGCGTTTTGACTACTAAATTTTGTACTAAAAAACAACATTTTCGATAATAATCAGCAATGTATTAATATACAACAGATAAAACAACATTACCAGCATAGCTTTAAAATGAAAAACAAAAAATGAAACAAAAAACACATGCACACAAACAACCAAACAAATGAATGAATATATATTATATAAAGATGAACTATATCCAGCCTTTTATAGAAAACTTAATTAATACTTGCTTAATTTTACAAACTGTGCAGTTCAAGCTGGAGGACATCACCAGCGGTGGCACCTACCCGCCCAACCAGAGCACCATCATACCCAGCGCGCCAGCTGTCATGGCAGCGGTCAATCTGGCCAGCACTGCGGGCAGCCAGCGTCGCATCAGCAGTGGACCCAATGCGCGTAAGTTAACTGCCACTAAACTGTGCTAGATTCGCATTTAATATAAAAATTCTTTACAGTCAATGCTTCCAATCAGTCGCTCAACTCTGTGGGTCGTCCTGTCTCGGCGCCTAGTGAGAGCATTAATAACAGCGCCTATGTAACGCCACCAGTGCGTAGATATGAGACGTCTACGCTGCCGGCAACTGCCACAACAACAGCAACTGCGACAGCAACAACAACTGCCACGACAGCCAACAACTCTGCAACGTCTGCATCCAGTGCCAACCATGCGACGGCAACCAGCCATGAAGATAAGGGTAATGCAACAAAGACGCAGCCAAAAACACACAGCTCAACTAGTTATAATTCACTCTATTTCCTTAGATAACGACAAGGAGAATGATAATCGCACACAGACTGTTATACAGCGACGTCGCAAGCCCAAGCGCAGATCCACGGGTGTGGTGCATATCGATATGGATGTAAGTGAATCTCGTTCTCTATATCTCTTGGCATCTCTGCCTGTCTGCTAATTGCCAGGCCATCTGTCAAACTAAATGAGCCATGCGCTCATGTCAACTATATTTAGATCAAATGCTAATTAGTCAAACTAATGTGTGTAAATCTTTTGCTAGGAAATCGATCCAGAGCGACAACATGAAACGGCTAACAATGACAACGAGGATAAGGAGAAGGAGGTAAATTGAATAACTAAAAATAATTCTATAAATAAATTCAATTGTTATAACATACGTAAGCCTGTTCCGAATTGTGTAAGATTTTAATATAGACTAGCTTAAAGATAGATTAAATCAGTTCCAATTGATTGCTCTTTCAAAATAATGAAATCGAAATGAAAACCCATTTAAAAATAGTGCACATATGTCGAAAATTCAAAAATCTTAAACAATTTGAACAATTCTCGGAATACGTTGAAGCTTTTCAGTTTCGTTTGCGAGCGCTTTTCAACGAATTCGCAATTCGGAACATGGCTAATTATATATTTGTAAATATTTTTGACTATATACCTATACAACAACAACAACATCAAGAACAATTGGAACATATATTTTAGTACATAATTATTTTCGCACCTTGGCAAAAATTGGGCGCACAACAGCTGCCCTGTCTTCTACCTAAATGCGTAGTCAATACTGCAACTGACACATACACGCCACACACTCACACACACTCTTATACACACACTTATATATTCGTCACACCTTGTCACAATTTTAGACAGTCCCGTGCGTCCTTCAAAGTAGCTGCTGCTCTGCCCGAGCTCTGTCTGTTCCAATTAGCAGGCGACCCATTTGTGCAAAAATGAAAAAATTAAATTATGATTTCCATTAGAAGAAGCGCTGAGAAAAAGAAGAAGAAGCCGCATCAGTACGTATGCACGTGGCATTGTGAATGCCATTGCTCCAATTGTGAATGATAAGTGTGCAGAGACTGCAAATCCTTTCATGGCCGAGGTCAAAACTATTAGTGCACATCCAATTTGTGACAATATTTAAGAATTTGATTTTCATTTCTGCTCAGCGAACCTGTTAACAATTTATTCAAAACATTTGACCAAATGCCGTTGTTGACCATTAATAAAACTGTCACATTTTCTAAATGCATCTCTTGGGGTCTGCTCTTCGGCAGACAGTTTGTCTGCCTGCCTGTCCGTCATAAAGTCTGATAGATTCTATATAATATATATATATGTGCGCACATGTGATATTTGTTTCATATTGAATTTCTATATTCTTTGCTTGGCTTAATTGATAGTTGAACTTTATTAAACAAGTTTGGCCTATTTTGAGTATTTATTCCATCATATCAAATCAATGAGCATATATTCATCATGCTTCATCAACTGTTTTGATTTGTGACATTCAAGTTTGTACTCAGTTTCAAGCATAAAACTGATAGATAAATGAATTATTCCCGATTCCCTTTGAAGAAAAGGTAGACCTTCTGATGGACCTTTAGAAGTTCTTCTGACCAGTCAGTATTATATGACCCCACAAATATTATAGAGCTATAAACTTAAAATAATTGATATAATCATGTAAAAAAATATCATATTTTGTTTGTACTTTCCTGTCTCTAAACTTGACCCGAAGTATTTCAAATCCATTCAAGCAATAAACAGATTTATTCACAACTTTTAGAGTATGGTTGAAATCTCCCAGATTAACAATTAAGAGACAATATTGAAGACATTTCTTTTGCTTAATGGCTAACTAAATCCGTTTTGCCTAATCGTGTCAAGCATTAAAACTGATTGACGATGTCAAGTGTTCTTTCGACATATATATAGCCACGATTTAGTATGAGTTGTTGCTAAAAACTATTAAGCACTTTCACAATGCGCTTTTCACACAACAAATTGCCCACTTAGAGGTGCCGCACGCCCCAAACACAACGTCGCTCACACGTACATTGAACTTTGTTTTCCCCGTGGCATGCTGCCTGCCTGCACCACTCTTCTGTCTTCTAGCCGGCCACAGTATTGTGGCAAACGAAATGTGTAACATTTGCGCCGCATTTGTCGCTAAATTTATACATTTTGCAATTTTGCATTTCGTAGTTCTCGTTTAAGCATTTGTTTCCTCATTCCCTGCCGGCTGCACTTTCCTCGCAGAGAGCATCTCGTCGAGGAGGTAGGAGCAGCCTGCGCTGGGGGCAGCCGTCATGTGCTATATTTAGAAGGAACGTTTTCCCTCCTCCTTTTACTTTTTGGCCTAGTTATGATTGTGTTCTTTTAGGGTAGGAAACGCTGCAACTTTCAAATTTAAATTTAGTTGCAAGCACTTCACTTTCCACTCTCCGCTCTCCAGTTGCGCCTCTTGCAACTCTGTCGCTCTCTTTGACATGTGTCACGTGTCGTTGACTGTTTCGCCTTTTGGCCCAGTTGTTGCCTGGGGGCTGACCCCAGCATAGTTTAGCACATTTGCTTCTCGGACATTGGGCCAAATAAGTGTGCGATTTACTAAATTTAGCTACCACACACACACACACACACACAGGTAAAACACACTCACACACCTGGTGTGCGCAATTCAAGTGAAACAAATAATGTCCATTGCTGCCAAGGCTTTTTCCTCCCAGCAGCTGCAACTCTTTGTTTTCATATTTGATAGACGCACATACGTGTATCTATATAGCTATATAATAATCATTTTCTTCAGTTTTGTCAGCGCTTTTCCGGCTTTTCGTGCGTATGCTGTGTATTCATACGATTTCTCTTAAAGAGAACTTCTCTTAACTTGTGACGTTCGTTCTCTCTCTCTCTCTCTGTCTATTTCTCACTCTCTCCCTCTCACTCTCTCTGTTGCGTCTTACTATTTCTGATCGTGCGCCAAGTTTTTTTTTCGGTTTTCGAATAAAACATTTCAATACTTTGCTTGGCTCGCACAGTTGAGTTTTATACGGCTAACGTAACGGATCAATAGCCACAGCAACAATTTAAACAGCAACAAAAACAGCAACAAATTCAAATAAATTTATTATTTAAAAGTAAATCACAATTGAATACGGACGAGTGCATTGATTTAATCTAACCACAAGCGTCTGTCAAATGTGTCAAAAGATATTTGCCATATTCGCTATCAGTTTACCAGAGATCCGAGATCTGAGAGACTCAAGACTCGAGACTCGAGACTCTTGAGAGTCGCCACAAGGCGGGGGCAAGTTGTATGTGTGTTGCCAGTTGTTGGTCTTCAATTGAACGAACGTCTTGTTGTTCCCATATTTGGAGTATTGCGCACAAATTTCGTTTTTTATTTAATTTTTGCTTTGGGCATTTCAAGTTTTTGAGTTTTTGCTCTCTATATATGGTCAAATATTTTGATCAGTTTTTAATTTGATTGCGTTCGTGCGCGTGTTAAAGGTCAAAGTTCGAAAAGTTTGCATTGAAGCAGCAACTATTTAACAAATGTTAACAATTTGCACACAAATTTATTGCTATTCGAAGTATCGCAGACGAACCAATTCAATAGAACAGAATTGTTCAATTTATTCTAATGTTATTTGTTTCTTCATAAAGCTTTCAAACATTTTCGTACGTTATTATTTATAAATCATTTCATAATCCCATAGAACTTGCCCCCTGATCTTGGCATCAATTTATTTAGCGCCCTGAACTGTTTTTTAAAAATGTTTTATCTGCTGTGTTAGCCAAGTTTACTGTGAAATTACTACAAAATTGTAAAAAGTCGCGTCGTAAAAAAACATTTCCATATTGATGCAATAGGTCGTAAAATGACTTGTGCCTGGCAGCTAAGATTCATTCATGGACAGAAACTAAATTAGCTTGAGATAGCTCAATATATGAGGAGACAGCAGCAGAGTCATAAATTAAATGCACTCGACATTTTGATTAAATGAAACGATGTTGTACCCTCTGCTTGAAATCTGATGGGGTATGCTAGGTGAAAGACATATAAATATTAGAGAAATGTGCAGAATTTTAGTTTTATCAGAAAAAGATCTTTTATCTGAAAGCTTCTTAATTAAATGAGTTTTGATATGAAATATTTACTGTTATTAGTGGCGATTGATAACAGTTCAGATTGTTTTATAAAAATATAGTCGAGTATTAGTGAAAGGCGCAGACATCGGCAGAAATACATAACGAATTTTTGACCATTTATTAATGATTCTCATTTTTTTACTTAATATATTCCTAATACCAGAAATTAATAGAATTATACCTAACAAAAATTTCTAAAAATCTATCCATTAAGTTAATGAGCTACAGATTTTTTAAAATACATTTTCATAAAAGGCCTTTATTGCCATATATTTATACAGGGCATTTCTGAGTTGCATAATGCTTATAATAGCTTCTTCGACTAGTTAGCCCGCTGTTCCTCATGTCTGCTTCACACTCGCGTGGGTGAAGCATCAACTTAAGACATTAACACCGCACAGTAAATAAACAGAATACGCCAGGGCGTCTCCTGGCCATAGATTAGTGCCTTTTGTATGTCTTTTCAATATTATTATAAAACTTATGTAGGAACAAACCGACAAACGCAGCAGACCTCCCCAAACACAACCAACAACAGCACACACACACATACAGGCACACACACACCTTGGGGAAACGTTTTTCCTACCGCATTGCGGCAAATTTAAAACAGAATGTCAAAATTTATGTCTTGACGTCATTTTGTTGATCGATAGAGGATGGCAGGGAACTGAAGCGTTGGCGGTTGGGCTTTCCATATATCAATACTGCGTTTTCCTTTTCGAATTTAGAGATCGTTTCACTTTATACAGCAAAATTTGTTTGTTTTTCCACTTTTGTTTATGCCAAAAGAAGAAGAAAGAAAATGAAATTCACGAACATTTCGTACGCTTCTTAATACTGAATTGTACAAATTCTTTAATGGAAATTTTGAAAATGGCAAAAGTTCTGTTGATTCGGTTCTGCTCTGGTCTTGCAAGCTGTTTTTGAAGCGTAATTGCAATTTAGCGGTGTCGATTGATTTATGAGATTTTGTGGTCAATTTAGCGTATACTAAAGACCGATTTCTTTATAGCCTCTGTAGAGTGAGAGAGGGAATTAGTGAGATCGTGTGTACGTCATGTCCTTTCGCTCGAGACCGCGCACACAGGCGCCGCTGCCCAGTCGACGGCGTTCGCTTTCCTCCAGCTCCCGAATGGGTGCCACTGGTGTGGGGGGCAGCAGCTCCTCGACTGGCGCCTACAACTACAATGGCAGCAGCTACAATTCACGGCCTCTGAGCACGGGCTACTATCCGAGCAGCAGTGCTGGAAGCAGCAATGGCAGCTATCAGAGCCCCTATACCAGCATCTACAGCTCACGCGAAAGCCTCTACGGTGGTGGCGGGGGCAGCAGTAGTGCTGGTGGGCGTGGCTCGTCAGGCAGCTACTATACAAATGGTAATGGAAGCAGCAATCGCTACGATTACATCAAATATCATCAGCCTTATCAGCCGCCTTCAAGCAGCTGCTCATCCGCTTCTACATGCTCATCCGGAGGCAGCGCCTCCACATCCAACTCGAACTCAGCTAAAAGCAATCATAGAAACGGCAGCTACTACCAACTGCACCAGTTGCAGGCTTCCGCAGGCAATAACCAGAATCACTACCACATCGTAATTAGCAAGCATAACGGCAATAGCTATGGCAAATCTAAAGCATCTGCTCTTTCCAACTCCACTTGCCCCACTTCCAACTCATCCACTGGCTGCTCGAATGCCACAGCCGGCGGTGGCTACGAGAGTTCGCGTTATGGCTATCCCAGCGCCTCGACATCCAGCTATGGCAGCGATCATCGTTACGTCAGCCCCTACTCTAGCAGCTATGACAATGGCGTGACCACTGCCTCGCTCAGCTTCAAGTCACCTGGACTGAGTTCCTCCAACTCGTTCAAGGGCTCGGCCAGTGCACGGCTGCTCAAGACCAAGTCGTTGTCCACGTCCAACAGCAGCCTCAACGCGGCCAGCAACACGCCCACCAGCGCGGGCGCCACGGTGGCAGCCATTGCAGCCACGCGCAGCAATTCGCTGCGGGAGCAGGAGCGCAAGTCGCGCAATCGCACGCGATCCCGCAGTGCGGCGCAGCGCTCGATCAGCGCCTCATCGGAGAAGAGCGAGGGCTACGAAGTAAGCAAATGGGTGAAATGTTCTTGATTGTTGTTGCAGGTGGTAAATTTAAAGATTATTATTATTAATTAGTTCATACTCTATTTATAGTTAACAAATATTTAATGCAATCATTTGAATTTTTGCTTTGCAGAGCGGCAGTGAGCGCACCTCACGCTCGCGCACTGGAAGCACTGCGACAGCGAGCACCGGCAGCGACTCAAAGAGTTCCAGCAACAGCGACAAAGCGGAAAACGGCGATGCCATCGATTATAAGGCGCTCTGGGAAGCCGCCAGGTGAGTATGAGTAGCTAAAGCAAACAATGTGGAGAAGTGTATATTAGGGCAAGTACATGTTTTGGAGACAAGTCTAGAGAAGCAGTTGGGAACGAGATATAATTTTTATGTTTCTGTAAGAGGAAGGCAAACTCATTGCAGCGTCTGATAGGGCGAATTCCTAGAAGAGAGCTTTAGAATTGAGAATCTAGGTTAGAGAGTAGCTGCAATCGCGATCAGTCGTTCGACCTGTAAAGACGTGAATTCGAACAGCCTTCGCTTAAGCTCTACTGCTGCAGAGTTCTAAAAATAGAACTTTGCGGTGCATTCTTCAACGCAACAGCAACAAAAACCGCACACGCAGCGTTTTCTTATCGCTTGCTTCCGCGTAACTCAATTGCTTTAATTGCAATTTACGAAATTTCGTCGCTTGGCGCGAGTGCGCCTGCACTCAAAAGCACAATCCGCGATGACATCTAATGTCAATAACCTCGCTACAGCTGTAAAGGTAAATGCAGAAATGCAAGCCCAGCTTAACGTTGTGATGGCAAATAGGCAAGCCTCCATCATGCCAATAAACTCAAAAATAGATATCGCCTCCGTGCAAGGCATCACTAACAACAAAAACACGAAACGTAAACAGCCAAATTCACCAAAAACCATCAAGAAAAGGCTCATCTTCGACGAACCAAGCACCAGCAATGCAGCATTAATATCAGAAAATCGATTTTCACTGCTCGTAGAAGAAGATGAAGACTACAGCGAATCACCTGTAGCTCCAGAAGCCCCAGTATTGACCGACCAGCAAACTACACCGAAACCTCGTCCGCCCCCCATATGGTGTCCAAACATCAAGTCTGTGGCCCTACTTCAACAGATAATAGATAAAGTAATTGATGCTAAATCATACGTAATTAAGCCAAAGAAGAATAACATAGGTGTATTAACCCAATGCAGTGAGGACTATCGCAGAGTTATAGACCACTTTACTAAGCTGGAATTGGAGTTCCACTGCTACCAGCTTAAGGAGGACAAACCATATAGAGTCGTGTTCAAAGGGCTTCACTCCAGCACTGATACAACACTAATTAAAAAGGAATTGGAAACCAAAGGCCACACAATTACAAATGTGCACAACCCACTGAGCCGTATGGACAAAACACCGCTAAATATATTTTTTGTTGACGTGGCTCAGGCCCCCAACAACAAAGAAATTTTGGACATTCGAGTTGTCTGCAGGCAACGCTGCACAGTGGAACTGCCAAGAAGATACAACGACCTGACACAATGCCATCGCTGTCAAGAATTTGGACACACACAACGCTACTGCCACAAAGCTCCCAGATGTGTGCGTTGCGCCGGGAAACACGCATCCAAAGACTGCACCCGCGAAAAGGACCAGGCACCAACTTGTGTGCACTGTGAGTTACAGCACCCAGCCAACTATAAGGGCTGCCAAGTATACAAGCGGTTGCGCAAATTGCAATCCCCAGCACAAAAAAGGAGTCCCACACAAACACCGTCTACGGGTCCGAGTACTGCTTCCGAAATTACAAGGCCCCGGAGCATTACCCAAGCCACGAGCTTTGCAACGCCTATTAGTGGTGTTTCTTACGCACAGGCCGCTAGAGGTGGACCGTCAAATAAGAATACCACAAGTGACACTTTGTTCACTGAAATGCTTCAGCAACAACAACGTCAGTTTGACGCAATTAATGCCGAGCTCAAAGCGATGCGAGAAGTACAATCCCAACAAGCAACCATGCTAAACAGTTTAATGGCCATCATAACCAAGCTTGCCTACAAATAATGGCTTTACGTGTGGGTATCTGGAACGCCAATGGCCTGAGAAACAAGACTCAGGAACTGGCTGCGTTTCTCTCACAAGAAAACATAGATATAATGTTAATAACAGAAACTCATGAGTGCCCCACTACACAAATTTTCGGATACGAACACTATCAGGCTCATGGTGAAGGAGCAAACTGCTTTGGTGGATCCTCAATCCTCATACGAGCAACAATACCGCATACACCTTTACTGCCAATTTGCAACGCAACAATGCAGGTCTCAGCCATCACCCTGCCTACGTCTATTGGAGCGATCGAAGTTGCGTCAATTTATCTTCCGCCAAACACTGGTCTGTGTGATCATCACATGGAACAGGTTCTAGGCCAAAGGTTGAATAAGACCCTCATCGGCGGCGACTGGAATGGATGGCACCCATTTTGGGGAAGCAATAGTGCGAATCGTCGCGGAGAAGTCATATTTGAGGCGATTCAAAACTTACAATTCAGCATATTGGCGACTGGAGCCCCCACCCGTTACCCAATTAATGGACACAGGCCCTCGGCAATCGACTTCGCTGTCTACAAAGGCATCTGTGACCGGCAATTGACCATTGAAGAATCCTTGGACCTATCCTCTGACCACCTGCCACTAATAGTCACAATCCACGCGCAGCCACAGCCCTTGCCCATTAGGAAACAACTACTGCCAGCAGGATCAGATTTAGGAGTCTTTAGGCGCGAGCTCCATTACTCTTTGCACATAGAAATGGAACTTAACACTCCTGAAGACGTGGACTACGCAGCAAACAAACTGCAGGAAGAAATAGTCAAAGCTGCGCACCAAGCCGCCCCACCATCTTGCCAAACAAGACAACAGTCTCCGTACAACATCCCCCTCACCTTGGAGGCCCAACACCTACTAATACACAAAAGATGGGCCAGGAGACGCTGGTTAAGATTACGCACGCCTGATGCCAAATCCATGTACAACGAAGCCACGAGGCATCTTAAAGCTGCTCTCGCCCTGCTTCAAAAGAGGTGTATCAGCGATGCGCTGGTACGAGCTGAATCGCCCACTGACGCAGAGTTTCAATTATGGAAATTTACAAGAAAGCTCAAACGGCAGCCAATACGACGTCATCCCATTCGGAGCATTTCTGGTTCCTGGCACATTGGAGACGAAGCTCAAGCTGAGGCTTTTGCAAACCACCTTCAAGACCAATTCACGCCGGTGATTACCGCAGAGGCCTCAGAAATCGAAGCAACAGAAGACATCGTTCTCTCGCCCCTCCCAGCTGAAGACCAGATAACTGGATGTACAAAAGAAGAGGTTCTTGAACACATCAGAAGAGTGAAGGCAAAAAAATCCCCTGGATATGATCTAATAAACGGCAGAGTCCTTAGAGCACTGCCTGACTCCACCATAGACTACATAACTATGGTGTACAACGCCATGCTCCGCATCCGGCACTTTCCAGCCTGCTGGAAGCGCGCCGTGATTGTGATGATTCCTAAGCCTGGCAAACCCGTGGGAGAAATTGAGTCGTACAGACCAATTAGCCTGTTGCCAGTACTCTCCAAAATATTCGAAAGAATATTTCTGGAACGAGTACTGACACATCTGGGACGCCAGGAGGCCATTCCAAACCATCAGTTTGGCTTCAGGAGACAGCATGGAACACCGGAACAGGTTCACAGAGTTGTGCACCATATCCTTGGAGCCTTTGAAGAAAAGATGTACTGCTCTGCCGTCTTTTTAGACATCAAACAGGCGTTTGATCGAGTTTGGCACCTGGGACTGCTGCAGAAAGTGAGGACCACCCTTCCAGCCCCATTTTTCGCGTTGCTATCCTCATACCTTATTGGAAGAACCTTCCAAGTGTCAAGGGGGCAAACAGTATCCTTGACTAGACCAATTATGGCTGGAGTACCACAGGGTAGTGTTCTAGGCCCAACACTTTATACTTTATTCACAGGAGATATGCCAACTCCCGAGCCAAATATAGGAAGTACAGATGCAGTACTCATAGCGACCTATGCAGATGACACCGCCATCTTATCACGTCACGTATCTGCGCAAGAAGCTTCAGACTCACTACAAAAATATCTGGACTCTTTCGGACGCTGGGCAAAACGGTGGTGTATCACCATTAATGCACAAAAGTCTGTACATACTACCTTCGCCACTAGAAGAGGAGATTGCCCAAGCGTTGCATTGGGGCCCACTATTCCCAAAGCCTCAAAAGTAAAGTACCTTGGTATCACTCTTGACAGAAGGCTGACTTTTAAAGCGCACATAAGTCAAGTAACCTCAAAATGCAAAAGCAAGCTAAAAACCCTCGACTGGATGCTGAGAGCTTCAAGCAAGTTGTCTTACAGCAGCAAGGCCGCCATCTACAAGGCAATAGTTGTCCCAACCTTCGTATATGGTATCTCTCTATGGGGCTCCTCGGCGAAGACTACAAGGAACAAAATTCAGACCCTGCAGAATAAAGCACTACGCAGATGGACTGGAGCCAGCTGGTTTGTAAGAAACTCAGTCTTACATAGGGATTTAGCAATTCCCACAGTTGCTGAACTCATTGGGCGACACAGTTCAAGATACGCGGACAGACTTGCAGCGCATCCTAACCATCTCGCAAGCAACCTGGCTATAAACAACAATAGGCGAAGACTGAAGAGATTGCATCCTCTAGACAATATTAGAACTAATTAAGATAGTAGCTACAAGTGCAGAATAATTGGCATATCTGCCCTCCCATTAGTTAAGGTTTAGAGCTAAATGCGCTATAGAGTCTAAGACAATAAGCTGCAACAAAATAAAGAAATAAAAACGAAAAAAAAAAAAAAAAAAAAAAAAGAGTAGCTGCAATGCTGCCAGCAGAAGACGTTGGCAATGATAAAACAAACTTCAGAGAATATTCAGAGTATATAAAAATAAGCATATTGACCTAGAAATGTTCGTTTGGACTGGACTACTATCTACAGCGCAGAAAGTATGTAAGATGTCATTAGCTATTATTTCATTTGTAATGTATGACTTCAGGCTATGCTCTCTTTATATACAACTCGATTTACTCTTATCTCACCTTTAGATTGGAGAACGACAAGCTCAAGCAAATGCTCAAGCAAAAGGATGACGAAGCGGTGCAGACGCGTGCAACGATCGAGCGCTTTGCCAATGCCGTAAGTAAAAAGCCCACTAACATGCCACGCCCACTACAACAACAACAAAATATTCTGTGCAAACGAAACAAAGCAAAACTCTCAGCAGTAACAAAGAAAACAACGCACAAACAAACCACAGCTCAATTTCTGTCTAACTCTATCTGCCGCCCGTCTGTTGAGGGCCAGGCTGTGATCTCTTTCGCTCTTTTGCTATCACAAACACACAGACACACTCATACTCACACAAAGAAACCCTTCTTATACACTCTCCTCTTTATCAACGCAGCAAAATATTGCTGAGTCGCTTTAGGACATGGCTCAAATCAAAATTTTTGCCTGCTTGCCGCTCGCGCTCTGTATCTTTCGCTCTCGCTCTCTGTTTCTGTAATAAAAACAAAAAAAAAACATCCAAAAATAAACAACACAACAACTGAACAACAGTAACAGTATGACACGATACCGTTATCCCACATGCTTTAGTATATTGAAATGCAAGACCAAACGCCAAAATTTGTTCCATTTCCACATTCGCAGACCACTAAAAATTCACTCTCTGAGATTGAGAAACGTGAGAGAAGAGCTATGGAACGCAAGCTTTCCGAATTGGAAGAAGAGCTCAAGGTAATTACAAATGTGTTCCAAATCCAAAACATTCCCCAACGCCCACCCACCGATAACAGTTAACGTCTCCTGCCTGAATGCTGTTTGTAATTTGATTTGACTTCCTTTTTTTGTAAATGGTATCCCAGGTATCGCAACCCGTTTCGTTAGATGCCAACCATTTCAGGACTGTTTTGATTTCTGATTTCTGCTTTTGTTTTATAATTTGGCCGAAAGTTCTACACTTCTTTTTACTGATATTTTAATTAAATTTTATTTTAAATATCCATTCACCTGCCGCATGTTGAACGAGTTGGCTTAAGCGGCCCTCTTAAGAGTCCCCTGCTTATCTTTTTGATCCTTGCCTAACTGTTAATTTCCTACTGCAATAACCTTAACATAATTTCTTAAGCAATTTTGTTATAGCCGTACTTCGTTTCGATTTCCCCGACCATATGTATCGCACCCAGTTAAAAGGCATCTAGATCGTACAAACGCTACAGATCGAATAATATATGTATATATTTTCATTACCTCTCGCTTTATAATTTTGGCCACTTTTACAATTACGACGGCACAGTTGCAATTGTTTATAATTTTGTTTATTATTTTTACTAGAGATAGCTGCACATAAGCTGCTGCCTTGATTAATTATTGATTTTCTTGAACCACCCAACCGATATCCAAAAACAATCATCTGTACTATATCATCAGCATACATGTATCTCCATTGTGTGTTTTGTTTTCGTAGAACAACAAAACTATTCATCCATATCTCATTGTCTCATTGTTTCATATGTCCATATTGTCTCGATCTCATTCGCATTCTCACTCACTCACTCTCACTCTCTTTCTCGCCAATCACATTGTCAGCTATTTGTTGTTATGATTTGGTCACACACTATCCATGCGTTATACGTTTATCGTTATACGTTATACGTTTTACGTTACTCATTTGGCGTGCTCTTATTTTTTGGCACGCCATTCTCTTTAATATTAACGCAATGCGCTCATTTCAGAAAATACGCTCACTCAAATTTTGTTTTCTTTTCTCTCTCTCTTCCCACGCGCGCCTCATCCATCGAATCGAAACAAAACGAAACGAAACGAAATGTATTGATACGAAAAACAATCATATTTATTTATTTATACAACAAACATACAACAAATATTTGTATGTATTTCGCTCTCTTCTTCTACTCGCTGTTGTTGTGTCGTTTTAGCTCATGCAGAAGCTAAAGACTGAGAACGACCGACTGCGTGCCGAGAATCGTGCCCTCACGCGCGTCGTCTCTAAGTTGACAACATCGGCCCAAAGTCAGCTGGCCAAAAGCAAATAGGCAACAGTTTACAGTTACTTAGCTCAACCCACAGCAAACAAATTCAAATAAAACTAAAATACATACATATATAACCTAACAAATAGTAGAAAACAGCAAAATCAAATATCGTAATCGTAATCGTAATCGCAATCGCAATCGCAATCGTAATCGTCATCGTTTCTATATATGCATACATCAATATACATAAAAGAGCAGTACACTTAGCATAGTTAAAATTATTTATCTCAAAGATACACGAACAACAATTGATGTGCCAGCAGCAAGCGAACAACTAATCAAAAAACTTATTAGATTCTACTATTATTATTATTATTATTATATAAAAATATTATTATTAATGAAATAATTTGCATTGTTATATTGCGCGCAACGTGTAACAATAATTAAATGTATTGTAGCTTAAAAATTAAGTTGACACACTTTTGGCGAGGGGCAACTGAGCACTTTTGCACAGCTGGCACCGCTGGCACCGCTGTTCTCTAAGGCCTACAGCTCGATTGATACAATATTATATATACATCGCATACACTTTAGCCAATATACTTGTTAATTGAAAGCATTCAGCATATACACATATATATCATAGCACATATATCCACACAAATATCGCATATACTCGTAATCAAAATCATCGCAACTTCAAGGATTATAGCCAAAAAGCTCAACAAAGGCTGCCCAACAACAGCAACAACAACAACTACTACTACATCAGCAGCAACAACAACACCAACAACTGACAAAGGGTCGCGGCACCATCAGCACAGATCTAGTATCCTTTCTTATATGCAATGAGCTTAACGGTAATTGATCCACACTTGCACTGAGAAGAAAACCTGCATCATATATATGAGCTGGCTGTTGTTTTGTTGTTGCATAATACCAATAAAAAATATATATATCAATATAAAAAAAGAGCTAAACTAAATTTTCTAAGCAAACTTAGTTATAAATATTGTTTTATGTGGGGAGTGTTTCAAATGTCTTTTTACAAAATTATACTGCTATCGTGTTACACACAGATTATTGGACTACTTTACGGTTTTGAAACACTCGGCTGTATATATATTTATATACCTACTTTAATGTATAACTATACTTACTTTACTATATGCCAAAATTGTTCCCTTGTTGTTAATATTGTTAAACTGTTTTTTGCCAAACAAATTTTATACTCATGTGTCTGTGTGTGTTTTATCTCAACTATCTATATCTATATAACAGTTATATCAGAGTTACGAAAATAAACGTTTGACCATTTGTAATTCCTTGCAAAAATTCTGTTTATTGTTTGTTGTCCTTCTCTGTGAATATCCACCTTTGTCAGTTAGACAAACTGTGTTCTATGCTCGACATTTCGTATTCGGCCACAGGAACCAAGCATCCTTATCGTACATGTGCCTCACACACATATAGAAGCATATATATCTGTAATCTTAAGTATTTATGATTCGTTTTCCTGGTTGTCATTCTGTCATTCTAGGGCGTTGTTTTAAAGAGACGAGGTTCTAGATATTAAAGACTTAGATATGGATATATATTTATCTATATCTATATCTAAATACAGTTATGTTTCAACTAATTGTTTGTTTGTTGTTCTTGTTGTTGCTGAGTTGCTTTCAACTAAATCGCATGATATATATTTATTTATAGATAAGCTATCTAATATCCATATACCCCCTCAATTCTATTCTTTCAATGTGCTGTTTATTTTTGTATCATTTATAATTGTTTTTACTAATTTAATTTAATTTTCTTTTACTTTTGCTGCACTTTCTACCAATCCAAATCCAGCAACTCGATGCCTACAAATCGGACAATGACCGCCTAAAGGAGGAGAACGCAGCGTTGATTAGAGTAATTAGTAAATTAAGTAAATGAAATTATGTCTTAACTTAAGTTTACTCAAAAAAAAGAAGAAAAAACAAAAAGAGTAACATAAAAAAGAAAGAAAAAACAGAAACAAGTAAACGTCAACAAAAAGTAAATTCAACAAAATTAATATAAAAGCAAAGAAGAAAAATTCTGTTTATTATTATTATTATAATTATTATTATTATATTTTGTGTGTTAAGGCATTTAAGCGCAAGTTGGAAACCATGTTTCGAAAATCGTTGAAAATTGTTTGTTTTCTATTCTTTTTTTCAAAGCCCTCTCTGTCTCTCTTCCAAAATGAATATTATATATAATATATGAAGAAGTTGAAGAATGGAGCGTAAATTTGATTTCTATATATGTAAACACGAAAAGAAGATAAAGAAGAAGAAAATGCAAAATAGTAAAAATTATAAACATCAAAAAAGAAAAGTTAATTATATATTATAGATGTTGTATAACGGTTAATTTCAAACGAAAAAACAAAAAGAAAGAAATCTTAACGTGAAAACTGAGAAACATATTCATCAAATGAGCCCCTAGTTACAGATTAGTTTAACTACATATATACTGCATACATATAAACATATATATTTTTCATATATACATATAAATTATATATACACACACCACACACCCACACACATACACTAAAACTCATACAGCTAAAAAGTAAGAAACAAAATTGTTTGTGAGAAATGTTTTTGAAAGCAGCCCACGCAATGTCAACGTAATTAATTTATTAAAGCTGTAATTGTTTTTACAAAAGAAAAGTGACGATAACTTAACTCATTTAGTTATAAATTGCAAATTTTGTAAACAATCAGTGGATATTCATATGAAAGTTATGCATATGCAACAAAACAACATATGTGTATAAATATATATGTATATTTCGAATATCAAATATATATGAAGCATGGCGCTACAAGCTGTATATATATATATGCATATCAATATATATATATATATATATATATATATATGGTCCTAAATGTATGCTACAGAATGTTGCATATGCATAGCGAAAGCCCGATTTAAATCATTATGTTAATTTTAAGTTGTTCACTCTTTGGAAACGTATTATATATATTGTCGTACTATACTTATTTGATTTCGCTTATATATCATTATTAAAAATTCGTTTAAGAGATTTTTGTGTTACTCGTGATGAAACGACAAAACAAACAAACTGAAAACAAAACAAACAAGTGAATTGTGTAATATGTAAAATTGTGAGAAAAAAAATATTCAAATACGAAACTTAATAAATGTGATCGCAAAGTAAATGCCAATTGTATTTCATTGTTAATGTTTTTAGAATCAAAGGCGTAGCTTTGAGCTAATCAAAATATGTGTGTAAATTGATTGTAACATAATTCTTGACAAATGGAAAATGTATAACTTAAAGTTATTGTTTTAAATATGATTCTCCGGGTCATATAACTACGTCTGCTGGGCACATGGCAGAACGGAGCTTATACTATCTACTGGCTTCTTCAGCTTATCGACAATAATATATAACCACGCCCACTTGGACTGTTGCAATTAAGGAAACAACTATATCTGCCTCAACCTTTGAGCTAGTATAGCCATCGATCTTCAGATATCAGAAATATATATTATACGCAATCTGTTGCGCTCGACTTCTTTTGATTAAAGATGCAAGTCAAATTGCATAAAAAGAGCACACTCAAGGCTGACAAATGGGAATAACCCTGCGTTTATCTATTGTAATTAATCTAAAGTATTATATATTTTTTTATAAATTTAAAAATATCAGATAAATTTGTTATTGGCCACGTTTAGTTGCGCCAAGTGAAACGAAATGATGCATGAGCATATTTGAGGTACTTACTGAGGCAATGACATCAATGGACGGATCTGAGCAATTATTTGGCGATTATTTGAGCTTATTTTAAATGCAAATTGCAGAGTCCAAACGAAATAAAGCTCGTTATTAGCCAAGAACAAGTGTCAGCTACCTTTATCTAATAAATCTTGTTTACAAGAAGAGGCAGCATTGCACGTGTAGTAAAACTCTTAGAACATGTGGAAGCAGATTAGCTAAGTTTAATGCCTAATTAGTATGTCGTTTAGTACAGAGCTATAGGTTGCAAGACGGGTTAATGGAAGTGGCCTTTGATATGCCCAATTAGGAAATCGACGTAAAGCGTTGTAAGTGTAACTAAAACCTCCTAAGTGTTTTTAATAGATAATAACCGAGATATTTTTATGGCGTAAACAGATTTTTTCTATATATATGCAGGCAGAGCTATTTCTATGTATAATTTAAGCTGATGACAAATTTATGTTCTTATTATTGCTCAAATTATGTTAATGCATGGACGACGTACGTAGTTTGATTGTGTTTAGACTTAAGCACGCACGGGCGTATTCAGTGGGGGCTTATTGTTAATTTGGCCTTTGATGTCTAACCTGGTTAAAAATATAAAAAGCAAAATGATAGACCTCACGTCATCGTAGACCAGGAATAGAAAGGAGGAGTAGCTATATTTAAAGCAGTCGCATGCTCGGCCCACGGTGCGTTTCGGCTGCTCAGTCAGCCAATGTCACTCAACTCGCTGTATTGGCCGCCAGCTGCTCAAAAAGCCAATTGAGTGGAAGTGCGTTGAGCGCGGCTTAAATACGTTTTCAGTTACCCAAAAAGCGTCAGTTTCGCTCAAAGCGTCTCCACGTTCACAACGTTCGTCGTCGTCGTCGGCTGGGCAGAAAGAAGAAATAGTCAAGAGAAAAAGCAAATTTAATATATTTAACCTGGCCCATTGCAACGCCGCGTCGCACAAGTAAACCATATTTATATAAGTTTTTGGCGAAGTTGTGAAATCAAAGTGTTTTAGCCAAAACCAAAAACCAAAAGCCAAAAGCCAATCACTTTGAAACGGATTTCTAAAAGTGAGTTCATGTTGAATCAATTACATAATGGGGAAAGGATATGGACAAGACCAAAATCGCATCTACACATAAACAAAAAAATACAAATACGAGCAAATTCGAGCCGAAGAAAAACTTTCGCTTTCACCGAAGCGTCGCATGGCTTGAGCTTTCCTCAAGCTCCAGGCGAATCAGTATTTTCGATCATGCTGCGACGCCTGGGCGAGATCACATCATATATCAATGTAAAGTTCTAGGCATTTTTATGCTAGTTCTGAGCTTTCACTTTCGATATGGCTATACGAAATTTCTTTAAGTGTATTAATCGCTTATGTAATTTGGTGTTTCTGCATATCTGCGATCTGGTATTGGGCAATCGCAGCGGCGCGCCGCGCTTGCTCAACCGACAAGTCAATTAAAATTACGCGCTAGTTGGTAATACGTTATACGTTAACTTTTTGAATGTTAAGCCAAAGGCCCGTGAGGCAAGGCCAACGCCATTAAAAAAAAAGTAAATAAAACGTACGGCCAGAAGTGTATGCAATCAACGTCTATGAGACTGTTCAGTTATGAATACCCATATGTATATAGATACATGCGCGATGTTCATTGATATTCAATGGCGATCGCAATTTGGCAACTGCATTAACGGTCACACCATTGTGACCTCGCTGTGCGCACACCATTCGAATACAGACCCCCAAAAGAAGAGTCTACAAACATTTAACGTTTCATATACAATGTCCCTTGGGGTTTTTTATAGAGTTCCTAATCAATAAATGTTATGAATTCGTACAGTCGAACGTGTTGGGACTTGACAATTAACACTTTTGCTAATGTTTTGTGGGTTTTCTAATGATGGCGATTCATTAAGTTGCATTCTAATGATGCGCATTCAAGCTGCTTCTACGCTTAGCATTCATGTAAGCTCGAGTATTGTAAAAGGTTTCCCACTTGATTGACAAAGTGCTAAATATTAGTTTAGCTGCATTCGATATGTTAAGTGGGAGCTTACATCAATATCCGGCATGTGCGATGCGAGCTACAGTTTGAGTGAGTCGCAAGTCTATGGAGTTGAAAGCTTTGGCACAGCCACAAACTCGTTTGGAGTCTGTTTTCTTTCGCTCGCTTCCGCTCTTGCACTCTCACTCTCTCTCGCTCTCTCTCTGTCACTCGCTCGCTCACTCTTCTTTTTGGCTGCTGGCTTTTATGCTGTACTTTAGCTTTGTCAGATTTTACGCTATGATGTAACCACGAGGCTAATTGGTTTAGCGGATGCAGAGAAAGAGCGAACAAAAGAAAATACAAATTGCACGTCTCAAAGCTCAGCTTGAAATGTGCGCTCTGCTTCTGCTTCGGTTGCTGCTGCTGTCTCCTGTAGCGCATTGCATATGGTCATATGACCCAGAAACGCAATCGTCAATAACTACACACACACACACACACACACACACGCACACACCCATATGTACATAGGTATGTAAACTGGGCATAGTCAAAGCAGGGCATGTTACGAATTTCATTTTTTTGAACTGCCTCGGAGCCCCGCACTCTTTCTCGCAGCTCACATTGAAATCTGTGTGAAGGCCATGAAAGTGAAAAAAAAACATCAAATAAAACTTGATTTAACGTCGTCCACTGTTATGGCCATAGTTATGGGAGTCTGCTCATAAATAGTTTGTTGACCAAAAACGGTTCGTTTTCTTTCTTTCTGTGCTACGCCGAGCCAATTAATATGGCCATTATTGCTGTGCAGAGCCAACTTCAATTGGCCATGTTCAAGTGGCCACTGGCCAGTGACAGTGCCTGCAAGCAGTCGACAACTGCTGCAGGTGATATAATCTTCTGCTGCTGCGTTGCCTTAACTCTTCACTGACCTTCCAGCTAAATGGGTTTTTGAGCATGTAGAAATTTAAATAAGCGATCGTATGTTGTCTTCGAATCGGTGTTCATATGCAAAACGAACTGTCCCTTCATTTTGGGTCATGGTCAATGGACCGGTAGCTCGACAAAAACCAGCCAGCAGCCAGCAGCCAGTCACCTGTGGTTGTGGCAATTTCAGCCAGATGGAAATCAACAGCTCTCTTTTTAATCGATGCTTTGGTTTTTTCGAATTTGCCAACTCTGAAACTGATCAACATATGTAGATATATAGAGATACCGATGATGTTTTGACACTGACTAATGCTCAGCAGCTGAGCCCACGCAACATTGATTGCCACAAGCCACAACTTCAGCGCACAGACAAAGCCAATGACCCACGATCCAAGAAAAAATAAACTTGAATGCAGGTGGGCCTTAAGCGTCTGTGTGTGCTTGTGTGAGTGCTGGTTAATGTAGGTTAGTAAACAGTAGTTAAGGCCCAGAGTTCGATGAATTTTAGCATTTTAACAACGGCTTCTGTGGCTGACCAAGGCCAACCACACAATTATCTGCTGCATACACTACGTATACGTAATAAATCGTTTTTAGTTTCGTTGTTAATGCACATTAATTGGCTTACAGTGGGCATAATAAACATAATTGTATCTGTTCTTGCAGTGCTGGAAACTGAGGTGCTGCAACAACCCAAACTCGATGGACCCACATCCAATGACAAGGACTTCGATCCCTATGTGTGCTCTCTGAGCGCCGATTTGAAGGTGGTGGCCAAGGAGGAGCTGCACGAGGATGAGAACATACGGCGACAGGCGTTGGCCCAGTTTCGCGAGTGGATTGCCAAGCATCCGCACATCAAGAAGTGCCGCACGGATGCAATTTTCCTGCTGCGCTTTCTGCGCACCAAGAAATTCTCAGTGCCCGCAGCCTGCGAGATGCTCGAGCGCTATCTGACCATTCGCCAGCTGTTCCCCCAATGGTTCCAGAAACTGGACATCAATGATCCGGCCATTAATGAGATATTCGAGGCTGGCTATCTGGTGCCGCTGCCGCAGCGTGATTCGATGGGGCGTCAAGTGATCTTCTCGGTGGCCGCCAAGTTTGATCCCTACAAGTTCACATCGGTGCAGATGGCGCGCGTGCATAGCCTGATCTGTGAATCGCTGCTGGACGAAGAGGACTCTCAGGTGTCGGGCTATGTCTATGTGAACGACGAGAGCGGCATGAACATGGGCTTCGTTAGCCTCTGGTCGCTCACCGATCTGCGCAGCATCATGAAGTGCATCCAGAACTCGACGCCCATGCGCCACAAAGAGACCCATTTCGTGAATATACCCCACTATGCCAATCGCATCATTGAGCTGGGCGTGTCCATGCTCAGCGATAAGCTGAAGAAGCGCATCATTGTAAGTTAACGTACTGCCACAGACAGTTGTCAGTCATATTAAACGCTTCTACCTTCGACAGGTGCACAAGAACGTGGAGGCGCTGAAGACGAAAATGGATCCCGCTATTTTGCCGAAGGAATACGGCGGCACCGTGCCCATCGCCGAGATGATACGCGAGTTCAAGGCGAAGCTGCTGCAGCGTCGTGCGGCGATTCTCGCCCTGGACGACATGCAGATCGAGATCACCAAGGAGGCGGCCAACTTTGCGGGCAACGACGTGGGCGACATTGATGCCGGCGTCGTGGGTAGCTTTAGGAAACTGGAGGTGGACTAGTTGTAATATCCAGTTGGGCTTTAGATTAAGCTAGGCTAGGTCAGAATACCATTGAGACATTTGACAACCCACACACACACACACACACACGAAAGGCAATCAAAATTGTTTCGCCTTAAGGCAGCATAAACCCTAAATTATAAAAATACAATTATTTACGGCAGTGACTGCAGCATCAAATTGGGCACAGATACAGGTACCGGAAACTGAGCTTGTAGTCAAAAAGTTGTTGCTAGTTACACACACTCACACACACACATGTTTTCCATTCATGCACACCTCTAGTGTGTGCATGTCTGCTATTTAAATATATATACCTTGTTCAAATGACTGCCCTGGCTCTTTTAATTGTTTGCTATAAAGAACTCGTGTGTATTTCAGATTGCAGACGTTGCTCAAAGAGGTATGTACGCACACGTTTCTATTCCCAGAACATAGACATCTGGCAATTTATTGTATTATTATGACAAGAAATTCCATTAGCAAATGTTTAATGAATTTTGACAAGAAACCCAAATGAAAACTAAAGCTAAATTATCTATCTAGAGTTTGCAGCTCTATTTGATAATTATAGAAATCGAAATTAAGTTCGATATAGCATAATCATATTTTAAATATTGTTTTAAAGAATGAGAGAGAAATTTTGTCTATATATCTCTCTTAAGCTGCAGCAACTAAGAGCAGCTTTAGCCCAGTTATAATAGAGGCATTGAAAATGCAAATAATTTTTATTTTTCAACTTAAATAAGAGATCAATCGCAAAGTCAATCAATGGCTAAAGATACATCCCTCTTAAAAAGCAGTTAGTCTTGACCAAGTTATAGAAGCTTGACGCATAGGAGTGGCATTGGCTATAGACTTGGCATATTTATTTTTAACAGACATTTTGGCAAGACATTCAAATACTTGCTCTTCAAACTTAAAAGTAAATTATAGATAAAGACCAAATCAATTAACGTCAAACCAATTTTAATAAATTTATAGCAGTTAACAGCATAGGATGGGCATATATATTTTTTAATTATAATATATATCAAACTAAAATAGAAAAGAAAATAATTGTAGCATTTTAAATAAGAAATTTGCAATTAAAAATACTGAAAGAAAAGGCGCCAAGACCATAATGAAATCTAATCAAAATCGTTTCACTTTTGATCAAGTTATGAATAGCTTAACTACTCTAGAATTGGTAAGATTCATTGTTAAAAGAGTTGGGAACTCGACGACCCAGAACCTGTCGAACTCATTGTAGCGTATTAGAGAGTCGCGCAAGCTCTAGCTGAGTACTTTTGTTGTGCCCATAATTGTTGTTGCAAGGCGATAACGGTGACACAGACGACGACGGCGGTGAGAGAATCTTATTGCATTTTTGAGCAAGAAAGCGACGACAATCAAAGCTCGAGGTACGAAAGTTCATGTGTGTGTGTGTGTGTGTAAGTATGCTTGTACTCAATGTTTATGTGAGAGAATGTGTGTGTGTGTGCATGTACTTCTTCTGTGTGTACAAAGTTGCGAGAATGTGTGTCGGCATTATGATTGTGTATGGTTTATTATTATGACCGCATACGAAATAATTTCCAAGTTTACATTTCAGTTGAGCGTTGGATCAGCTGGAGAACAGAGAACGGAGAACGGATAACGCGAGCAGTGAGCAGTGAGCAGCGAGCGTGGAGTGGCTAGCGTTGATAGTTGATCGTTGATCATCTCGAGTTGTTAATTGTTGCGCTTTGTGACCGTGCTAAATGTTTCGCTTTGTGGCCCGGGCTTAGGCATGTCGACATCAGCTGCCGCCACCAGTTGTTGAGCAACTGCAGAACATAGACCGACACAGTTATTCTATATATACAAACATATGTATATAAAGTCTAACAAACGAGCTCTTCTTTAAACTCTATCTTTGACTTTCACGCCACTCCAGTGTATTCACAATTGTATTGATAAAGTGTAAGTGTGACAAGCGCCACGTGCGGAACGTTCTAACGGCATACGGGGGGTATGAGCAATATTAATAATGTTAGTCACCAGTCGTGTGTGCGTGTGTGTGTGTGTGTGTGTGTGTGTGTACTTTATTATGGGGTCAAAGACTTTTGGCCAAAATCAGCAGCTAATAAACAGCTCAGATTCTAAAGATATTGCCCGTATGCATATTGCATTCATTTGCATACGTTAAATACAAATATACGTATGTGTGCTTGTAAGTTAAACAACCTGCCAGATGCATATGGGCAGCTAATTGGCTACTGGGCACTTGCACGGCGCGAGCAGCTGCTCTCTGAGCACTGCATGAGAGCGCTGCCGCTATCAGACTGTGAGCATTTGGAGCGAGGCGAAAGCTTTGCCGCGAACAGCTGTTGGCGTGTAAGCTTCTCTGAACGCAGCTTTTAACTGGCTTGCGCTCGGAGCATGTGATAAGTGGAAGGCGCACTGGAAGTACACACACACACACGCATACATATATGCACCTACTTTAGTTAAAATTGAGAGTGTGGGAGAGAGCGAGAGAGCGCGTGTGTGCTTCAATTGAGCATGGGCGGTCGAAGTGGCGTTGGCGGCTCGCGTCTCCCGTTTAGCGTTTATCAATACGGAGTACGCGAGTCGTAGATAAGAACTCTGAAATCATTTATATAAATTGAATTATCACCTCTTTCCCTCGCACATTCATGGAAAAGCACAGAAGTCAGCGGTGCACTGCAGTTTAGCGGCTGCGTTAACTGGAACAACATGAACAAATTGCGAACTCTGCTGCCGGGGCAGCATGCCAAAGACGCTGCTCGCAATTCGGTCGCCCTGGAGCCGGAGATTGGCTTCCAGATCACCATCGAGACACATGACCCCAAGGAGGGCAGCGAGCAGAGCTTTGCCGCGTCTAACGGTTCGTCGGGAATGCCCGAGTTGAACGTGCACCTGATTGCGGCGCGACACCTGCCCTCCCTCTTCGGCTTCAAGATCGTGCAGGGCTATCTAATAAAGGTAATTAAAAGCTTTACGGTTTTAGCCTTTGATTGTATTTGTTTATTTAGAGTGGGAATGGAAACTTGTATGAAAAAATATTATATACTTGATATAGACTCTATAAATGTTATGGCATTTCTGTATTCTTACAGGTAAAACTGTTTCCCGGCACAAAGCGCTTGGACAGCAGCATTCAGACCAACACATGGCCCAAGTTCAACGAAAACTTCAAGTTTCCCTTAGTGCCAGATATTAAGTAGGTGCCCTTAGATGGCCTTAAAATCACAGCTACAAAGATCTCTTCTGTTCCAATAGACCATCCCTGAAGCATGGATCCGCCTTCTCCTCCAGACGCCAGGTGCAGAGACGCACAAGTGGCGACATTTCCGCACCTGATGAACTTTTTGCCGGCCAATTTGTGGTGTTTACTGTATATGCTCTGCTGGAGCTGCCTGCCGCCGTAAGTCAACAGTTTTCGTTGGTTTTGTCTAGTTTGTATCTATGTAGGTTAAACAAATAATGCCTTTCAGAGTTTCAATCGATTCAACAAGACCTATCGTTCCCTAAAAGATAAGAGCTCTACCTTCGTGCAGCGCCTCTCCTCGGGTGAAACCCAGACTGAAAATGGAGCAGCGCAAAAGAACGGAAAGAGCAAGAAGACCACAGAGAGTCCCAGGGATGCCATGCCGCCCCTAACAATTAGTGAATCACGTCGAAATATAGGTATATCTAATGTAGAATTATATGACTAATATTTAAAAAGAAGTTAAAGTGTTTGTATGCATATTATATATTAGTCGATGCCTCTATAAATATTTGATTTGATTCGTTTTAGGTTCCGTCACTTGCTATCTGGAGCCAAAGCTGTTCAAGCGCAATTCTCGCACCGGCTGCTATGCGACTGAGGAGCTCTGGCTGCCCATTAAAGATATAACCACAACGGTCTCAAAGACAACGCCCAGCAACAACAACAACAACAATAGCAGCAGCAGCAGCAGCAACAACGTAAGCTATCAAAACAGACAAGTTGACAGCCAGATTTGACCGAGAGTTGACTTAACTAAATTTCATATGTATGACACCCGAGTGTGGAGTGCATAACTTCATAACTTAAGCGAGTATAAAAGTTTAATTTGGACTAGTGAAAGTTGGCCAAAAGTAAATTGCGATGACTGCGTAACACAAGACAAATATATAAACACGACGAAAGCAAAGACTGACCCTTGACTCGCTGCTATTTGCTTTTACAGCTCACGAATGCGCCAAAGGGCGTGGTGGAGTTGGCGCTGGAGGTGCGCGATCTCAGCGAGAGCGACTCAACGGGCCCAGCGCAGGCCGCGGAGACGAAGGACATTCCCGTTGCAGCGGCACCAGGTGCCAACAATTGGCAGCGCATGAGAGCCGAGGTGAAGCGCAAGATGGGCATTAGCAATGTGGCAAATGGTGTGGGTGGTCCGCTCATGCTGCGGGTAACAACGGCGCGCATGCGCTGCTCCAACAAGGTCAAGGACGAGCTGGAGGCAACGGCCAGCGGCGGTGTCTATGTGAAGACCACTGTGTTCGAGCATGGCATCTATGTGGATGCCTGGAAGTCGCCCGTATTCTTTCCGTCACTATCCACCAAATGGGACGGCTCCGGCGGGGATGAGGCGACAATTTGTGTGCCGCTGCGTAGCGTGGACCAGCTGGAGAACATTGTGATACGCATTACGCTGGCCACGAAGCTGAAAATGGCCAAGAAACTGGTGTTGGGCACGGTTCTAGTCAGCGGCGCAGACAATGCCTCCGAATCGGGCATGGAGCAACTGCGTCTGCTGAGCGATTCCCCACTCAACGAGCGCGTGGCCACGTGGCACTGCTATCACTAGCTAAGCTACCCAATTTTAAGACTAGTTCCAAATTGTAGTTTGTTTTTAGCTATATGATTAAATTGATATGCTCAACTTTGTGTTAATGAAATAGTTTATGGATTCTCCGTTAAGCGCTGTTTATGGCCATGGCCATATTGAGGGACTGGCTACGGAACCAGGTCGACGCTCTGAGCCATTTCATGCTCAGGGGTTTTCACACTTTTTGCGCAGTATTCCCAAACCGACGACCGATGAGCAACGTCTGCGGCCCACTGTGCGAGCGCTAAAAACTGTCTGAGTGTGAGTTGCATGTGTGCGCCTCTGTGTGTGTGTGTGTGTGTGTGTGTTTGTGTTTGCGAGGAAAATAGTCGCTGGCAGCATCGAACGCAACGTTTGAAGCGCTCGGCGTTGGCGTTCAGTTCTCGAGAAGACGGCGTCGCGATCGGTTGTGTGTGTGTGCGTGCTTTATTTGGGCAGCGAGGCTGAAGCTGTAGCGAGTTGTTGGTCTATATATGAAAATTCAACCAATGTAAAAATATATCAAAAATATTTAAAAGCCACAAAACCGAATTCGAAGCGTGCGAAACTAAAAAGATTCAAAAAAAAAGTTCAAAAATAAAGCTAAAAACTTTGCAAATTTTTGGCGGCAGTTTTCCCGTTTTTTTTTGTTGTCAATTGGCTCAGCGCACCCTGTTTGCAGGTACACATTGGCCAGGTAACCGGCAGGCAGCCTTAGCCTCTAATTGATAGGCGCCTTTCATTTGATTAGCATGCAAATAATAGCAATAATAGATCATTAAACGTGCGCGCAAACCAACAAATTGTTCAATTGAATAGCGATCAAAATCGCAGCGCCAATATAAAGATGCGGCCTTAAATAGATGTCGTCATTCCATTTCATTGAGTTGACGGATATATGTATATATTTATAAATTGATATACACATGCGGCTATGCATGTATGCATGTATGTGTGTGTGTCTGTTTACATATGTCCCAAGTGCAGCGCCAGTTATGATTGCAACAACAGTTTCATTCATAATAAAAAACAATATGCAAAAACACACACACACACACACATACATGCACACACATGTATATAGAAGATGTGTGCATTAAGCGCATGTGTTATAAATATGTTGCCTGGGCGGCTATACAGGGGGTGGCGACGCATTTAATGTGGCATCTTAGCGATTGCAGCGACAGCGGCGCCGAATCATGATTTATGGCCAACAACATCCGCCTTATATACTTACACAGCCACAAATACATAAATACATAAATAGTTGTGTCACCCGTAGTGTATCTAGTGTATTTACTAAAGGAATCGAATACCGAATCGAATTCGAACTCGAACTCGAATATAAACAAGTAAACAAAGTGCAACTTCGAGTTGACAACTGCTCAACTTCCGTTCTTTGACTTTTCCATTGACTGCAGCTATTAAATTCGAATTCGATTTCGAATTCTTATTAGAATTCGAATAACATTGAGTTTATTTCTCTTTCTGTAAACACGCGACTAATAAATAAACTGCAGTCGCGACTTGACAACTGCACAACTTCCGTTGCGGCTGCCCATCTGCACATAAGTAGCAGCTGCGTGTGTGTGTGTGAGTGTGGACACATATAGTAAGACGAGAACTGCCCACGAACACAGCAACCGCTGCCCACTCGAGACATAAACAACAACAAACCCCACATACTAAAAAAGACACAGTAGCGGCGATTCGGCTGACTATTTTTTGTATTTTTCGTAAGCGTCATTAAAATTGCATTTCGTTGAACTGGCGCCCCGCTGTGCCGCCGGTCCCCCCCGCCATTGGCTGCCACGGGCGGCTGTGCCAGACTTGGCGGCTGCTTCTAGTGGCAGGTGGTGCAGCCGATTCCGTTGACTATCGAGCATTTAACTAACGCGCTGCTGCTACTGTTTTTTCTCATTTTTATTTTTGTTTTTGTTTTTTCGCTTTTGGCTTTGCGTAAATTTTCATTCATGAAAAGCTCATTCGAGCGAGAGTGAGCTGGCTGCGTGTATGCGACTAGCTGATGCGCTTTGGATTATATATATTAATAATTATATATTATTTGGCAAGTAGTTGTTCAGTTAGCGAATGATTGGGATTGATTTATAAATTGTTAAGCTAATGAAAATCGCAAAGAAGGGCGAACAAATGTTATTTAAGGAAATTGTTAAAGAGGAATATATATGGGGAAGGAATGTAAAGTAGGGAGAGAGACAGAGAGTAAGAGAGAGAGAGAGAGAGAGAGAGAGAGAGAGAGAGAACGAAGCAGACAGACAGAGAGAGAAATATAGAGAGGATTAGAGAGAATGAAAAAGGAGAAAAATAAAATTTTAAAAGCAGATAGAGACGAAGTAAGAAAGAGAAGGATATGCATGTAAAAGAGAGAGAGAGAACCAGCTTAATATATTTAAGCATTACCCAAACTTTTATCAATACATATCACATTTAACATGCCCAAACAGTCGTAGCTACCCTATGCTTTCCTCAATCGTAATCAAACTAACTGAGGGCACAACAAGTGGTGTCAACTTGTCCACAATCTCCGTTCTTTTAAGCCCGATGACGACATGTCAGGGAATTTGGCAAATATTTTTCATTGTTAATCTCGCAAAATTGTAACATTTTAATCCCACTTAGTCTAGGTGGGGTATTCAGAGGTGGGCGCTGTTGTATAAAATGACGAACGGTTTGTTTACACGACGGCTGCTCATCCGCGTCTGCGTCGCCAGCGAGTGCTGCTGCTGCTGCTGCTGCTGCGGGTGTTTTGCGGTCGCGCTGCGTTCTAAATTAAGAAGAGCCGTTTTTTATGTGCATAGCTACATACATATTAAATATGTACATACAAACATACATAGATAGATAGATAGGCATGTCGTCAGGTGTTTAAGAATAGTTTTCTAGTGGTGTTTTTTCTGATAATGCTGAATATTCCCCACACACATGCACACACATACACACACACACACACATACTCACGCACAAAATAATAAAGTGCTGCTCTGTTACTCAACCTTAAATTATGAGATCGCTGCACATATGAGATGGACGAGCTGACAGATACATAAGCATGTTTGGACCGCCAATTAAAAAATGAACCCGTAAACTATGTTCTGTTATTTATGATCCACACATTTTCACTCTATGCAAGTATTATTTGATTTAGTGAAAATCGCATAGAAGGGCGAAGAAACTTTAAAGCGAGGGTTAACGACTAGCGGGAGATCGACATGGGAAGAGATTGAGAAAAAGAAAGCTGGAGCAAGGCAGAAAGTGTTGGCTATAGAGCGATAGAGGAAAATAAGTTCTTTCTAGAGAAATCAAGTAACAGATGGAAAAAGTGCAAAAGGGTATGGAGTTGGAGATGAAGTTTGGAATATAGAATTACTGGAAAGAAAACGATATATTAGTGGCATTTACAGAGTATGAAGTAACATAACAATAAATTCCTTCAGCAGAAATCAGACTTATTTCGCTTAATTTGATATTAAAGGCTTTGGTCAAAATCCTTGAAAAAGTCATTTATCGTGAGAGGAATTCAGGTGTAACAAGCAGGAAATACTCCATGCCTTGAAGGTAGCAAGTGGACTTGCTGAATATGATAAATGATAAAGCAGCTTTTAACGCCCTGCTGTGGAATTTCCAATGCGATACGCTCACATTTCTATTGTTTAGCTGAAATGTACTATGTGTATATAGCCAGCATCTATTTATCGATTGCACATTGACACATGAATGGCTCGTTCATGGATTTTATGGTCATTATAGTGGGGAGTGGGGAGTGGGGCGAACAGCAGAACTGTGAAGCACGATTGTTTTAGCCAGCCGGGCAGGGCAGGCTGTCTGTCTGTGTGTCTCTCCCTAGTGCCACTTGGATGCACGTGTCGCCATAAAGGGCCAGGCAACCCGTTACCATATACGCTAGCGGCCAAGATTCAGATCAAGTATATGAATGCATGTGCAGGCAAGAGAGATGTGATTGAGCATGGGCATCTGAAACTGAGGCTGAATCTGAATCTGAATCTGAATCTGAATCTGAATCTGAATTTGGTAAGCATTCAGTATTCAGTTTTCAGCATTCAGCATTCCGCATTCACTATTGACGTAAGATCGATTGTACTTGCTTTTATAAAAAAAACAAAAAAAAAAAAAAACACAAAAAATATACATTGTTTTTTGGCATTTACCAAGTGCTTCTGTTGCCACTTTAAATTCCTCTGTGTAACGCAAAGTCGATTTTAATGGCGAACTTTGGCTCGGGTCCGGCAATGTTGCTTTTGATTTTTTATAAATAATGAATTTATGTATGTTTTTGATTTTTGTTTGCTGCCTGCTTGTAATTACATGTACATGAACATGTAGCTAATTAATTTCACTTTTATTTCATTTTCATTTGATCTGCTGCCCACGCGCTCGATTGCCGTTTGCTAAGGTCTCTTGCAAGTTCAAATATTTGCTTTGTAGTTGCGTCAATCTGCTCTGCAAAGCGAAATAAAATATAGACAAAAATCAGAGAAAAAATAAACTATTTCGGAATTGTTGAATTGTGCGTAGAGCGACGATTGTGTCTACCTCTGTTGTACTTTGTGCTCAAATGAGTCGATTAGTTGAGCCAAATTAAACAAGTTAATTGCCTCGAAAGAGCATTTGCGAATCTCTCATAGGCGACAGCATTGGATCTACAAATGGCTCATTGCGAATTTAGTATATTGCCCCATCCTTAGGCCACTCAGAGAAATTAGATTAAATTTTAATTTGGCATGACTCAACATTTATATAATTCAATATTTAACTTTATTATTCACAGAGAGAATACCCCCAATCTACGGGAATGCGCCTAATTTGCAGCTTTATCAAATGGCTGGCGCTGCTGCAGCTGCTGGCTCCCTGTCAGGTGGGTTTGATTAGTTTTTTATTAATGATATTATATATACATAAATGATTGGCCTCTCCCACTTGACACACACAGACAAACACATACACCTATATATAATGATGTCAATCGACAACAATTCCCTCGACAATTTGTCGATTGACTGCGACTGTGAATAATTAACAAATTTGTTTAAGCAGTGCGACAACAATTATCTGTGGCCAAATAAAGCCAGGCCATTGTGACCTTTTCCGCAGTCGTTGATATAGTTGACATGACCCCGGACAACGTAACGGTAAACATATGCCCTTGAATCATTTTGCGTACAGCTCGTATTTCCGCTTGATTGCATTTGTTAGTGTCACAGTTAGACAGTTACTTAAGCGCCACAAAGTGGGTTTTGACTGCCGAATATGTCTCAACTAGGGCTGATTTAGTGGTGACAGTCAAACGGAATTCCAGGTGCAACCTTGTGGAGCCAACTGTAAGATGTGTATATGCAGCCAGTTCCTTCCATTGGCGATCTACCGCAGCAGTAACGACTGAGCCAAGTCCTATGCTGGTGGTGGTGGTGGTGGTGTTGGAGGCGTTTGGCTGACGTCGAAACCTATTTTGGATAGGAACGAGACAGGAAGAAGGGATATGCCAGCCGACGCTGGCAAAGCGAAATTGATGTTATTTTTAGCGATGAGGCAGTGGGGAATGTCTTCGAACTGGAAGCATAACTGCAACAGTCTGAGCAGACGAGAGCAATGACACCTCAAACGAAATGCAGCCCCTGCAACACACACACACACACACACATGTATATATATTTATGCGCTCTGATTTATCCACTGTGATAAAAGTGTGTGTGTGTGTGTGTGTGTGTGTGTGGTGCAGCGAGCGTTGGCAGACAGATTGAAATGTTGGCGACTCTTTTCAATGTTTGATTTCGGAGCCGGCTTTCGCTAATTTGTCTTTGTACATTCGTTTCTTGACAGAGTGGACACGTGCAGGAGGCCAAGCGTCACCTACGCGCCGAGCTCCACGACGTCTTGGGCCATCCCAGCTACTATGGCAGCCACTGGCACAACGGGCATCGGGTGCACAGGCTGCGCATGGCGCACGCTCATCAGAGATGGACTGGCCGACGGCGTTCGATCAATCATCATCATCCCTTCAGCCGCTGGTCACAGTGGACAACGTGCGATGAGGATTGCATCAGGCGGCGCGAACGCTTCTGCAAGGCCAAGCGAAAATGTGGACACACGAAGCACGTGGAGCAGCACAAGTGTTTGCAGTGAGTGCTAATTGTGGTTGACAGAAAGTAAAAGTGGCATCAATTTACCGCACATATTTATGTTGCCTTGCAGTTGTCATCCGGCAGTTAAGTGGCATGCAACAAGCAATTTGCAACAGCACAATTTTCCGCAGCATTATCCCAATCCACCAGCAATTGTTATAAATGCTGCAGCAGCTGCAGCGAGTGGGCCGCCCTATCAGCCGCATCCAACAGCAGCATATGCCCCACCACCGCCCCAGGCACATCCTCAGCCGCATCCACAGCCATATCCGGAACCACATCCCCAGCCACATGCTCCGCCCGAGTTACAGCCTCACCCATATCCTCAACCGCATCCTCTGCCTGATCCCTATCCCGTTTCAGATGAGGACTCTGTTGAGATAGTGCATCGAAAGCCTCCAAATTTTTCATCAATTGAATCCAGTATAGAGGAGGAGGAGGAGGAGCAAGGTGAAGAGCAGCCGCCTTTCCATGAAGATGATGGCGACTTCTTTGTGCTGAAGCGACATCGACGCAGGCAGAGACCAGGACACGGCTCGCAGCACAATTCCAAGCAGAGGAACAGACAAAAGCCCAAATTTGATTACATTGATGACGATTTTGAGGACTATGTGGAAGGCAAATCCTTAAAGCTTAGGCAACGTTCCTTGGGCAGTGTTGACAATGGTGGTATAGAAGGCGATATATTTCAGTACGAGGATTTCGATTTCGAGCCGGAAACCCAATACCCAGACTCGGAAGAGTATACGGATGCGCGTAACATGAGCTGGCAGCCGCCGCCAAAGGAGCGCAATACGCCAGATGGATTGACGCCGCGTCACAGACGCCTCTACTCCAAGTGGAGTCGCTGGACCAAGTGCTCACCAAAGTGCACCACGAGGCGCTATAAGTAAGTGCTGTCCATCCTTCTACTCCTTCATCTAAGGTAAACCCTTTTGCAGAAAGTGCCGCATCAGCGAGCAGTGTGGACGCGAGGTGCTGCGAGAGATCGCCTACTGTTACACAGAGAACAGTTTCTGCCAGCAGTGGCTGCAGGCCCAAGTCCAGAAAACGCCTGCCTATGAATCCAGACCTGGTCCAATTACGGCCATGCGGCGTATGCACGCGGAACCAGGCTCTGGAGCACTGAGTCGAAACGAGGTCAATGTCATTATGAGCGGCAAGGGCTATCGGGGACCGGAGTACGCTCCGCTCAAGCTGCAGTGTGGGCTGGTGCGCACTGGCCACCGCAACATGTACAACTTGCTGAAAATCATAGGCGGCAAGGCTGCACGCAAAGGTGAGTGGCCCTGGCAGGTGGCCATCTTCAATCGGTTCAAGGAGGCCTTCTGCGGTGGCACTCTAATCGCACCGCTCTGGGTGCTGACCGCCGCTCACTGTGTGCGCAAGGTGCTCTACGTGCGCTTCGGAGAGCACAATCTGGACTATGAGGATGGCACCGAGGTGCAGCTGCGCGTACTCAAGAGCTATAAGCATCCGAGCTTCGACAAGCGCACCGTGGACAGCGATGTCGCCCTGTTGCGGTAAGCAAGCCACTGGCTCTTCAATATATAAATTTATATATATATTTACTCGATATTCTATGGCAGTCTACCCAAGCCGGTTAATGCCACTAGTTGGATTGGCTACTCCTGCTTGCCGCGCCCTTATCAGCCGCTGCCCAAGAATGTGGACTGCACAGTCATTGGCTGGGGCAAGAGGCGCAACCGTGATGTGGTGGGCACCAGCGTCCTGCATCAGGCGGATGTACCCATTATACCCATGGAGAACTGTCGCAGCGTCTATCATGACTATACCATAACGAAGGTGAGCCTCTAGCTTCGGAACTTGTACTAAATCCACTTAATCTGTGAATACTCTTAGAACATGTTCTGTGCTGGGCATCGTCGTGGTCGCATCGACACCTGTGCAGGTGACTCGGGCGGTCCGCTGCTGTGTCGCGACTCTACCAAAGCGAATCATCCCTGGACCATCTTCGGCATCACCTCTTTTGGCGACGGCTGCGCCAAGCGCAATAAGTTCGGCATCTATGCCAAGGTGCCCAACTACGTGGATTGGGTCTGGTCGGTGGTCAACTGCAATGGCAACTGCAAGTTGCACTAGTTTGGATGATCGTGATTCGTTAATCCTTGCCAACATAGTTATATTCAATTAGCCAGTAAGTCGTTATGTTTCAGAGGCTGTGAGATACTTATTAACTTTTAAGCCCACAAGCTGGGCCAACTCATTCTGTAAATACAATTAGGCACTCATTTAAGTCACGTTTGAATGTTTTCTTTTCTCTAACTAAATATAATTTATTTATTATCTCGACTTTATATAAAGCCTAGATTAATGTGAAACAGAATTGAGTGCAGTTTGTGATTTCTATAGAAAATTCTGTTTAAATTGTTACTAAACAGAGACACTCTTTTAGAATGCAAGCAACAGGCGTGTTTACTGCAACAAAATATTTCATGTTTATTATCGGATTCACGTGTAGTATGTATCCGAACAATTGGTGCTATTGTTGGTCTGCAATTTCTGGGAAATCAGATATGGAAAACAACCTTTTAACCTGCGGGTATATATCAATTCGAATAAAAATAACAAATGGGAGAGTCACAAATCAAAGGTACGCATCACATATAGTAATACCCTATACAAGGTTTATTCTGCATTAGTTTAGTTTATTACATTAGTATTAAATGCTGCCCGTTCAGGCTTTAATAATATAACTATTTAACGGGACATTTTTACATTTATTCTACTACAAGTAAGAGTACACCTTGGTTTATAATATAATAATAAAAAACCATCACAAGATTTATGTTATGCCATGTATAAATGGATTGGGTTGTGTGTATGTGTAAAGGTGTAAAGGTTAGTCGAACATGCAACCAATAGCCAGCTTTTAGCTGCCTGCACTATCCGCTCATTGCGTAATGGAGAGCCATCGAGGCAAGCAGCACTAAGAGAGCCACCGCAATGCCAACCATATAGAGACTACGCGACAATTCGCGCTTTGGCATTGTGCTAGTCAATCTGAGTGAGTCCTCTACTTCGGTGTCTGTTGATGTAGAATTAAAATTCACATCATCTGGCAGGCCCTCAGCATCCAGATAAATTGTCTCCGGATCCAGCTCAACATCAAGTACTTGCTTGGCTTGAGATACAACCACAGTGGGCGCTTCACCACGGAACAAATACTCGGAGAACTGAACCGAGTTACTTGATGTATTGCCACCATCCGAGGGTATGGCGAAGAACACGCGTCTCGGTGGTTCGCTTATGTAGACCGCCTCGTTGCTAATATGCGGATCGGTCAGTCCATCGCAGTAGACCTGAATCCGAGTGATCAATGAGCGCAGCACGTCGTCGCGCAGGTAACGCTTCACGTCTGCCATGCTGTTTCGTGGGTTGCAGTAAATTCGTGAGAAGATCATTCCGCTCATGCGCAGAGTCCCACTGAACTCCCGAACTTTTATATCTATCGGATTGTTCACCTGACACTTGACAGGCATTATAATGTTGGCTCTTATGACGCCTCCATTGGAACTATCAATGGCTGATAGTAGATGTAACGTAGATGCAGTCGCAGATACCGGCGTGTTGGCTGCACTTCCGGCTGAAGTGGTCGAGTTCGTTTTAAGCTTATCATCCTTAAGTTTTTTCTTTTTAATATACGTCTGCAAGTCCATTGCGTCGTCAACCAATTCGTTTTGCAGGAATACCTCGCTGGCGATCAGATATTTGCGAATCGTAGATATAATGTTTTGAAACTGTTCTTCAATGTTAATGCGCCTGGTGGTATCTACAATGGGTATGACGTCTTCCAAGTCGTAATTGCACTCAAATTGAATCCACTCAAATGGTTTCTCAACAAAGCGGTAGTCCATGCTCGAAAAGGTGCCGCCACTGAAGGGGGATTAGAGATATTGAAATATATTAATAAAGTAGTTCAGGGCACTGACTGGCAAAGCTCTACGAATATACAACATACATATGTATCTAGAGATAAACCGAAACATGTAAAATGCAATCCATAAAAAAGTCGTACAGCTACGAAAATTAACTATGATATACGAAAAACATACGCCAGATATGGCCGTAAAACATTCAAAAGAGATGTGTAAGTACTTGAGTTTCAACATTTGTTATTTACCATATGATGCATTTAATGTTTGCCGTAAAATACGTTTTTTTGCAATGTCTATTTTAAGCAGGTGGCCAACAAGATAATTGATAAAGAAAAGATACATAAGTCAACAGTAACAGTTCAGTGACAACCTAACCCGACCCGATTAGATTTCGATATATATCCACAGATATTAATATTCTCACTTACTTTCCGTAGGTATAGTTTTTGCAGAGCAGAGTTTTATCGGCCAAAGAGTAGGATAGGAATATGAAGTCAGTTTGTGCCAAGTCTGTGGTGTAGACTCCAAAGGAGTTGTTGCTCTTGAGCAGTAAGCTAAAGAAATACGAGGTGAGATATGTACATTAAATTCGCTGTATTTAGTTGATTTAGACACTCACTCGTATACATCGGAAAACACTTTTTTGGCATTCTTAAACTCTTCGCTGCGTTCGTTGGCTACATCAGGACGCACCGAAGCAATGAATATACCTGGAATTTAGAGACGTGCATGTAAAATGGAGTGTATTACAATCGATATCACCACTGCCTACCTATGACATCGAAGGATCCGGGACACATTTTACTGGCGCTCAGCCATTGGGAGGCCAGAGCCTGGGAGTTGATGTCGCGTATTGTTAATCGCACGTCGGTCAAATCCTCCAGGTCGGCATCTTCCTCGCTGTTGCGGGCCAGGTGAACAACAATGCTTTTGCAGACATCTGCTTGCTGAAAATTGGGGAGCGGTCAGACAAACATATATATGTATATAAATGCATGCTGTCAACAAAATAAACCTACGTGGCGACGGTCGGAGCAGCAGGAGCATACTTGTACTTACGTGACCAACGATAATTCCGTACGTGAAACTGTGTTCCTGAGCGCACTTTTCCAGATAGAGCTCATCGGATTTGCTCAAAAGCACTGTGCGCATTATATATTTTTAATTTTTTCAACAATACTAAATTTTTTAGCACTTCTGGGCTGACTTTAATGTTGATGATATACGACTATCGATATTACTATTTTATGATATCATGTCAAGCGACGCTATCGATGTTTCCGTTTAACGATAGTTTCGTTCACTCTTAGGGATGAGAGTGTGAGTATGTTTTGGCGCTCAATTAAAATTTAAAAATACACTCTGAATTATATTCTAACAGGTGTTTTGTAGCAGGTGCAATTTATATCAAAAATAAAATGTAAAGCTAAAAGAGTGATGAATCTTGTTATTGAAGGGAATAGTTAAAAGATGTTTCTAAAGATTATTTTGATCAACATAACGACCCCAAAAAAGAATTTAGTTCTTACTTTTATATATCAAAGTTAATATGAATGAAGTGAATATCGTCTTTACTTGACTTAAAATGCTTTGCATAGTTGTACTTACACAACTATGCCTTACAATCACATCTGCTCTCAATTAAGATAAATGTGACAGAAATTGAAGCAAAATGGATTTTAAATTAAGAACTGCACCTTAAATTTAATGATAATTGCTTCTGCTGCATAAAAGCGTATTTATTAATGATTTCAATAATCGAGATGCACAGCTGTTTTAATTTTTCATTTAATTGCATTAAGATACAAGAGGAATCTCTGCATCTCCATGTCATGCACTCCCTTCCAGCTGAGGGTTTCCACTTTCGAGCGCTTGAATTAAGTCAGCAACCTTATTACTCTGCAATGATTGCTTGCTCGAGGAGCACGACGATCTGCATATTCGTATATATATATGTGTGTGGGTATGTGTGTTAATATATGTGCCACCCAAATGGTCAAGTGTTTTGTGGATTATGGCGAACGGACGCGATCGGTAATCGAATTAGGTAAACAAACACTCAATAAAGCGAGTGTTCGTTGTGCATATGCATACACACATACATTATATACATAAACATATCGTATGCATATATCTATATAGATATCTACATTCAGGCGAGTCAGCAGCAACAGCAGCGATTGCGATTGCGCCGTGATGACAGGCGAAAAGTAAATGAAATTTCGTTTAGGTGGTCGCTGGCGGCTACGAACCATCTGCTTGTGTGAATGCTTGATTGTTGAAGTGCCACTCGATGGCGCGAGGGCGCACGCTACTCTCGAGCCCCGACTCCAGCTCCGACTCTGACTCCAACTCCAACTCCAACTCCAGCTTCGACTCACGTCTTATTTACATAGTAAATTATTCCTGTTCGATTGTTTGCGTTTGCTCTGGATCTCTGGCATAAAAGCACTCGAGCGTCATCGTCAGCTTTCATCGTCGTCAGTTCATTCATGATTTGCCTTTCACAATTTGATGTATGTACGTATGTACGAAATACAAGCACATGCACATACTTGTGTGTGTGTGTTATTGGTTAACCGTTAGCGAGAGAACTTGTTAGCCATTTGGAGCATTATTTAAAGCATTTGCCGATCTTTTAACTGTGCAGATTTATGTTCTACGGAAGACAGGTAAGCAACTGGTAATTGCTTTTTAGCTCGACTCGACTTCGAATTACGCCGGCAGCTAGCCAATTCCCAATTCACAGGTATCGATGCAATTTGGCTTCTGTGTAGGCACCACTGTTGCCACTGCCACTGCCATTGCCCCCAACGGGCATTCTGTGTGGCTTGAACATCACGCCAAGTGTAGCTTAGTTGCAGTTCCAATGCAGCTTTGAGTCGCCTTGCCCAGGCAGCGCATCAATCATTCAGCACGCACACCAAAAACCACAAAACGCCAAGGAAACACACAAATCTGAGCAACTTCAATGTCTGTATGCACATATGTGTGTCTTTATCTTTTTTGTGTGTGTGTGTGTGTGTGTGGCAACTCATCAAAGTTGCTTATGAGTTGTCAATCACGCAAATTCCCATAAGGTAAAAGAACTTTACAAATTTATTTCTTTGCTTATTAAACTCTTTCAAAGGTAAATCTGAAATATGTAAGATTATCTAGTTAACTTAATTTTTAATAATTTTCTTTCCTGAAGAAAGTGTAGTTGTAATGTTTGGAATGTATTCCTTGATTGTTGAAATGGGCAACAGAAAACGCTCTCTCTGTATTTGCATAATCCTTTCGATTAAGTTCTTTGATTTAATCAAGGTGTTTGGGATAGTTACACTTTAAAAATATTTTATATCTAGAAACTATCTTTCGATGTGACTTATACTGCAGCGGAAGTACAGTACAGCCTCGTTAATCCAGCCACGATTTGCTTATGCGAATAGTTATTTGTTTTCTGAGCAGTCAAAAAAGTTACCCTTAGAGTCTTTAATTAATTTTTTTCAACTAAAATATATAATTCTATTCAATTTCAAATATATTTGACCTATGTCTGATCAATGTCTTATTTTTAACTAATGTAAAGTGAAGAAATTAAATTAGAATTACCAATAATGTACCATAAGACATCAATATAGTAATTTTAATAAATATTTTAGAAACTGAGTCTCAACTAGGCAGTAATTAACAATATAGATTCTAAAGTAGCTCGAATTAATTTAATTGTTATACAACAAATGAGGTCTTCAGACAGCTACAAGTTTGATATATTCTCTTGAAATAATTGTCAAGTACAGATATAGGAAATCGAATTAGTGGTAATGTCTGTAATGAGTCGATTATAAACTTTTTAAATACGTAGTTAAATATGCACTAGTTCTTGTAGAGACTCCATGACACTACTTTAGTGCACTTTGAACATAAGCAAGGCCTTATCATAAATAAATTGCACTTCCCCTTGCACAGGCGGACGGGGGTTGCCTTCCTTTTCCTGAGGCTGGTTGTTTATACGCTCGGACGCAGTCATGAGCGCGTTGGCCACTGCCTACTTGGCGCGCTCCGTTTCGTCCAGTTATTGGTGTGAGGGGGAGAGGCATGTAATTGCTTGAACTGTGTGCGCTAGTCGCATACTATATTGTTGTCCCGCTCGCACGCTCGCGGCTCATCAGACAACGGCCGCCATTATGAATGTGCGCCGAAGTTGAAAAACCGGTTGGCATGCCAAAAGCACTCAACGGCTTTGAGTGAAACGCTAGCTGAGTGGAGAGGCTGACAGCAGCAGCGGCGGCAGCCAGTTCCAGGTGAAATTCAAGCCACTTGCGGCTGCCACTCAGTGTGCTGAGAGCGGCTTTCACGTGAACAACGTTCAAACGGAACAACGACGACAACAATAACCAAAGTAATTTTGAACCCATCATTTCGGTTGGGCTATGTACGCGGGTGCAGTGAGGAGCACGTTATGAATTTAATTGGCCGCATTGCGTTTCCGTTTGCCACCGAGTCTGTCTCCATGCCCAGAGATTTGCATGTACGTGACTGCTCCACAATTAATAATTGCGACGCGTCTGTGACTGTCATAGTGGCCGTAACTGTGTCACTTAGTGCTGTGTTGTGAAAACTCTCGAAACTGTAAAACCAACTGTATCAAAGCTAAACGAATCGAATTTATAGCTAGGCGACCAAACGCTGCTGACATGTTGATAGAGCCGAGCTTGAACCGTGACTTTGGCTCGCTAACTGCTGCAGGTTCTAGCATTGCGGCTGCACACTGGAAAATGGAGCCACATCCCCAACGACTGTCATCGCTGGCACCGCACCCATCCAGTGGTAAGATTTGGACACAATTTGAGAGTCAGCAATTGCCGACGGCTGTTCAAAGAACTTATTTTTTGGTGAATAAAGAGATTCTGGTTTGAGGTTGTTTATAAATGAAAATTCAACTAAGCAAATTTTAAACAAATGCTTTAATTTAGCAAAAGCTCTTCAGATAGCTTCATTGGCAGCTACCTAAAAATTCATTCATTCCATTAGCTTTATTAAGTATATCTTTCAATTGTACAAACATTTTTGACAATATAATGAAATGTTTTCGATAAGCAAACGCAGCTTAAACGGAAAGTTTTTTGCTTTTGCCGCTAATTGACAATTGGAGGGAAATACCAAAATACGAAAAGCTGGTAGTACGGGGTACTGCGGGGTGTACGAGCGAGACATTAAGTATAAATACAAAAAAAAAAAAACAAAAATTAAAAAATAAACAAACAATAAATATTCGCGTTAATACTATAATATGTGTAGCTTCAATACAACAAAAGCTGCACAGGTTCTGCGACAGTTGATTAAATATTTTAATTTTAATTTGGTTTTTATGACGCCAAATTATGTCCAAAAACAAAGTTAAATCTGTTAAGTGCTGTTAAAGTTGCGTTTCACTCAAATATTAGTTTCTTATAAATATAAAACACGTATTTGCTTTGGCCCATTGACAATTGAGCAACGCCATTGCTGCTGTCAGCAGTTGCTCGGCGGCTTTGGCTCAGTTTAGTCAACGTCAACACAATTAACCGTTAATTTATCATAATTAATCATTGTGGCTGACAGTGACAACGGCAAACCATAACAACAACAGCAGCAGCAGCAGCAGCAGCCGCAGCAATAACTAAAAACACAACAGCAACATCGACTCCTAAAGGAATAATGATAACAATGGCCAATTATCATTCAATTCGTTCAATTGCAGTGGCGTCGGCTTCACCAACAGCCGCAACGACAACAACAGCCCCAACAACTGTGCAAATACCACCTGGTTTCGTTGCTGGCAACAGCGGTGGGCCAACAGCGGCAACAGCAGCCGCCGCTGCCGCAGCAGCGGCAGCAACCGGCAGCACGCTCGGCGCTTTGATGTCGCAGCATCGCCTATTGGAGTTCTCTCGCTTTGGCGGCCTGCGCGGCTACGACATTGCCCAACACATGCTCACGCAACAGGGCGCTGTCTCCAAGCTGTTGGGTAAGTACATTCCACATCCCAGCCCCCGCCTCACCCCCACGCCATCCGCCTCCTTCCAGCTTCCAGCGACTCGCACAATCAGTTAAAATATTTTGTTTTCGATTTGTTTGCCAATTTTATTGATAAACACAATTATTTATAATGTTATTATCCTTGGCCGGTGCCCCTGTCTGGCTACGCCTGCTGCCTGCCTGCTGTGGCATGCGTAATTTGGGCACTTAAAATTGCATAAACGCCTCGAACGACTCGAGCCGAGCCGCGGCTCATTAATCAAAAAGGCTGCCCTAATCGACGCGCAGAAGGGAGCAACGGGATCGTGTTGTGTAGGGTGCCGCGTTGCCGATGTTGCTGTTCGATAAAGCTATTAAACGAGCGCGATAAGCCGGGGCAGCTCGCTAACTACCGTAAACGAAAGCGAACTGACGATTGTGGGTTGCATCC